ATGTGGTGGTTACTAATTTTTCCGTAGGGAAATCGGTGTTATATTTTCAATAAATTTTTAATATTAAATCTTTTTTTCATTTGGCCTTATTCCTGTGTCTATTAGTAACAAAATATTAATAATAGATTCTCGTGTGTAAAATTCATTTTTTTCTGTTCATATTCATTTTCTTTTTCCTTCATAAATAATTAATATAATTATAATAATATAATTACTGATTATATTTTAAGTGAAATATGGATATATTCATTTCTCTTTTTCATTCATAGAAAGAGTTAATATTTGTTTTCATTTCTTTTTCCTTCATAATTTTTTCCTAATATTTCATTTGGTGGTTACTAATTTTTTCGTAGGGAAAATTGTGTTATATTTTCAATAAATTTTTAATATTAAATCCTTGTTTCATTTGGAATGATTCCCATGCCTATTAGTAACATAATATTAATAATATATTTTCGTGTGTAAAATTCATTCCTATTTCTGGTCATAAAAACAATCTGGTACGTTTGTAATATTCATTTTCAATCACAAAAACAATTTGGTACGTGTTTAATAATCATTTCCTTTTTCCTTTACCCTAATTTTCTGTGTAGCAAATTAGTTATTTACTTATTAAGCACATTTTTTTTATAATTCGAGTCCATTTTAAATATTAATTTCCTTTTTCTTTTGATCTGAGTTTTGTGCCAAAAGCTGTGTTATATTTTCAGTGAAATATAAACATATTCATTCGTTTTTCTTCATATTTCATTTCCTTTTGAATATATTTATTTCTTTTTTTTCCTTTATAAAAAGAATTAATATTGATTTTTATTCATTTTTCCTAATAATTGTCGATTAATTGGCCTGATTTCCATGTCGATTAGTAACATGATATTAATAACAGATTTCTTTGTAAAATATTCATTTCCCCTCGTTCATAAAAAGAATTAATATTCATTTCCACATAATTATAAAAATATAATTACTGATTATATTTTCAGGAAACTATTAATATATTCATTTCATTTTTCCTTCATAAATAATTAATATAATTATAATAATTATAATCATATAATTACTGATTATATTTTAAGTGAAATATGAATATATTCATTTCCTTTTTCACTCATAGAAAGAGTTAATATTCATTTCCATTTCTTTTTCCCTCATAATTTTTTCTAATATTTCATGTGATGGTTACTAATTTTTTCGTAGGGAAAGCGGTGTTATATTTTCAATAAATTTTTAATATTAAATCTTTTTTTTTCATTTGGCCTAATTCCCGTGTCTATTAGTAACAGAATATTAATAATAGATTTTCGTGTCTAAATTTTATTTTTTTCCTTTCATATTCATTTCCTTTTTTTTCTTCATAAATAATTAATATAATTATAATAATATAATTACTGATTATATTTTAAGTGAAATATGGATATATTCATTTCCTTTTTTCATTCATAGAAAGAGTTAATATTTGTTTCCATTTCTTTTTTCTTCATAATTTTTTCCTAATATTTCATTTGGTGGTTACTAATTTTTTCATAGGAAAAACTGTGTTATATTTTCAATAAATTTTTAATATTAAATCCTTTTTTCATTTGCCATGATTCCCATGCCTATTAGTATAACATAATATTAATAATGGATTCTCATGTGTAAAATTCATTCTTATTTCTGGTCATAAAAACAATCTGGTACGTTTGTAATATTCATTTTCAATCATAAAAACAATCTGGTACAATGTTTAATAATCATTTTCTTTTTCCTTTACCCTAATTTTCTGTCTAGAAAATTAGTTATTTACTTATTAAGCAAATTTTTTTAATTCGAGTCCATTTTTAATATTAATTTCATTTTTCTTTTGGTCTGATTTCTGTGTCAATTAGTAACAGAATATTAATAACAAATTTCATTATTACAATTAATACTTTAGTTTTTTTTTTTTGAATTAGAATAATCATAATTGTAATTATATTAATTAATTAATTGTATGGATATTTTTTTGCAATGAGATACAGATCCACTAATATGCAATGTACCCAGATGTGTTCTCCTGCCTCAAAGCCTAATGAATCATACACATGTTGCATCTTAAATGCACGTAGATATAGACATTCAATTTTTTTTTTTTTTTTAGAATGCTAATCGATTCACTGATAGTTGAAGGTAGATAACAATACTTATAATATGAAATTAAACCTTTTGGAAGAATAATATGAAATTAAACTCAAATTCAAGTTACTTTACATCTATTAACCCCTAATTGAGATTATATAAAAAGGAAACATAGATTTAAATAATCTCATCTAAGAGCTTGTAAATATGGTGACTGCTTTAGTGTTTTTAGAGAGACAACTTGCTTTACCAATTCGCCGGGAAGAACCAATCTCATGCAGGTCTGGATCTCGCGGGAAGTGATTATCGGCTTCTTGTTGTAGTGGGCCAAGCGAGTCACCTCTTGGGCGAGCTTCAAGAAGATATCGTTGATGAAGCTATTTATGATGTCCAAACTGCAAAACATATTGAAGTACGTGAGAATATAGTTAAAAAAAATATAGAAAATTCATACAAAAAGAAAGCAGAGAGATGAGTCTGAGATTCTTTGATTGAAGAAGCTCTTGTATTTATAGGTAGAAAATATTAATTCAAAAGGAAAGTATAATAATTTATTTATTTAAGGGAAAGTATAATAATTTATTTATTTAAGGTAATACCATTATTATTATTATTATTATTATTATTATTATTATTATTATTATTATTATTATTATTATTATTATTTATTTATTTAATTTCTATTTGACATTTACTTACCAAATAAGTTTTACTACAAAAGTTTTGGGGGGGGGGGGGGGGGGGGGGGGGAATTTGTTAGGAGGATTTTACTTTTATATATATACTAGTTTTTTTACGCGCTTTGCGCGAATGGGATAATGCCCAATAATTATTTTTAAATAAGTATTTCAAAGTATATCAATACAATATTATATCAGAGATGTTCATGCATAGGTAAATAAATGTTGAATTTGTTTATTTAAATCGGTAATTTAAAGTATATAAATGCAAAATAATATATGAGAGATTAATTATAATTGTCACTAAAATAAATGTTTGCAACTTTGTAATAACACTAGTTTAAATACTTAGTCTTAAAACGATACTCTAAATAAATACTACTTTTGGTTTAAATTTCTCTAATTCTTCTTAATTCTCTTTTGGGTAGCATTGTTATTGTTTTCATCTTCAGTACATGTCCTTTTTTTTTATTATTATTGGTACTGTGTCATGTGCAATTAGGTTACTGGTAGCAGCATAGAGAGATTCATCATGCAATGAGATTATGATGTATGAAGTTTTAGATTTGCCTTGCTGTGTATATGACTTAGATTTTAGTTGTAATATGAACTCTTTAGCGTACAAACACCTATTGATATTTAGTAGTGGTAGTTTTTTCCCTACATGTTTCATGTGTTGTGAGATGTGTGTCATAGGTTATCATGTGAAAGTATTGAACAAAATATTAATATTTATTATATTTGTATAAAATACTTGGTAAATAAATAAATATATATATATATATATATATATATATATATATATATATATATATATATATATATATATATATATATATATATATATATATATAACATGTTTTGTATTATAACTTTGATATTTAATTACAAGATAATGTAAAAAAGAAAACAATGAACAATGTAGTGAATATAATAAATTAATAAATTTGAAGGTAAGGAATTTTTGAATTGTAGAAAATAAAGATAATATAACTGATGAAATTATATTTCTTTTAAGTTTTTTTATAATGAATAATTTTTTTAAATAAAGCATTATAGACATCTAATTCTAAATTAATTAAATGCATATGTATTATTTTTTGTTGTAGCTACTAATTTATTTAATTAATAAGAGTGATAAAGTGTCGTACATACTTTTCTTCAACAATAATGAAATCAATAATTTTTTTTAAATTTCCATTTCTTGTTGAGACAAATTGTTTTGAGAGTTTGTCCATTACAATTGTTACAATTGCTGTCAATAGAGGATGTTAATAAATAATTCAAAATATATGGTTACAATAGATATTAATATAATGATATAGTAAAAATTAACTTACAAATTTCTTTAGAAGTTTTCATGCATTGATAAAATTTTGATGTGTAAACTTGTTCAATTGGAGCTAGTAGGATGTTAACATTGTCAATTATTTGGAAAATGATCCTACCGTTTTAGAGTCCATGTTTAATTGTATTTATAATCAACAACTTTGTAGTTAGGCCGCGCAGGTCTGACAATGATGTAAGAACAATTTTGTCTGATAAAAAAATAATAGTATAATATTTGTAAAGTAATGTACAATTGTACCATTATAAAAAAAAATACAAAAAGTATTAATACCATAATGGCCTAAATCATTCTAATAATGCAATAGCATAATTGAAATATTAAGTTTTGTTCTAAAAAGTAACCTAAATTTTTTTTTTTTAAATAGAAAATTCAAGAAAATCAAATGATTTTAAAGTAGTTCCTGATTTATAATCTTTGATGCTCGACTTTAAAAGCTATGTATTTAGTCGAGCTAATTATTTGACAAAAGTTTATATTATATATATTTTAATACATTTTAATATATGCATAATATAAGTTTAACAATTATGCCAACTATACTTGGGATGAGGTTCGAACCTAAGACCTTATATAAATTAAGAGTATGTTAAGAATAATAAATAGTTAACGGAATATTCCGTTACTAAAGTTTAAACTAACGGAATTTAGGGTTATTTAAGGGAATAAAATAATATAATAGAGGGTAAATAAGGAAAATCATTAAAAGATACTAAAATCAAAATAATATGAACCATTCATTTTAAGAAACAATTAGTACCGACATTTTTTTTGTTCCAGTTAAGGGCCTAACATTATTCGCTCTTATTAGATTTGTAGATTTGTAGATATATATATATATATATATATATATATATATATATATATATATTTAATTAACAACAAAATAAAGCTAGCTAGCTTTATTATAGATGCATTTTATTTATTATTATATGATGTGATGGATGCATCATATATAATTCATAAGTAGAAGTGGAAGCTAGCTAGTACAATATTATATTATGTTCGATCTGATCTCAAACATTTAGTATTTAGCTAGATGACGTCATAGTTTTGAGTAATCATAGAGACATAAGGCTTGATCTTGGAGCTGTAGTTGTAGTCTTTGTCAAAGAATTTAGACCAGAGCATTACGCCTCCGTATATGGGTGTAGCCTTGATCACCGGGAGAACTTCAGAAATAAGGTTATCAGGCTCAATGTAGCCACCGCTGGGGGCTGCTTCCGGCGCTGCAGGCAATCCCAGAAATAGTTTTCCGGTGGGAATGTTTGACCATTCGTTGTTCCAAGAGTTCAAATGACTGGTGGCGCCGCCGCTGTACTGACAGGGAGGATTGTTGTAGAACTGCACCCAGACGTAGTCGAAAAGGCCGGTGTTTATGGCTTCATGCAAAAAGTAATAATTATTTTGGAATGGACATTGAGGAGCTGCTGCCAAGTAGACTTTTTGTCCCGCCCCTTCGCCCAATTCCGACAAGGCCATGGCCAAACGTTATTAAGAAAGCGATGTTTACGATGTTGTAGTTGTTGGTTTCGCCGCAAGTTTGGCGCAGGCTGCCCTCATACCCATTTTGGCCCCAATATATCGCGATTTCTCCCCCGAGAGAGATGTAGAGACGGCAACTATGATATTAGTATATGCCATGCATGCAAATAATATTTTGTGTAATTTGATCGAGGTTTGGATCATTTGTGGCCTGGGAATAATTGCAAGGAAGCAGAGACTATTTATAAGCTCTCATCCTGGAAAAACAAACAGCACGGCTGTGTCGTGGCAGCTCCATTTGGGGCAGGCCGGCTTGCCTATCAAATTGTATTATTATTGCCAGTGTTTAAGATATATACATGTGAAAGGTTTTTCATCTAATCCAATGACATAAAGAAATGTGCTTAGCCTACCAATTCCAAACATTGGGAAATAATAAAAGGTGCTTAGCCTAATATAACAATTTCAAACATTGAGAAATAATTAAAGATGCCAAGCCTAACCATTACAAACATATGGGAAATAATAAAAGGTGCTTAACTTAACAATTTCAAATATTGTCCCTTTCATGGAAAGATAAAACCTATTATATTGGTGCAAACAGTAAAACAATAGGAACCCTGCATTGATGGTCTGAGCTATTTAAGGTCCAATCCCCAATCTCTTATCTCATTGCTCAACATGCACAACCCAATAACTGAATTATTAATGATTTGTTGTTTTGTTAACGTACGGAACTAAGGGTGTGTTTGGAAACCTGGAAAATGAGTTCTGGAAATCATTTTCCAAGTTTTCAGTGTTTGGATGTGCCTGGAAAATCAAGTCAACGGAAATCATTTTCCGTTGACTTTGGAAAATAGGCTTGTTTTGGAGGAAAATGACTTCCCCTTTTTTTGGGGGGAAGTCATTTTCTAACTTTTACACCAACATCACACCACCACCAACATCATCAACACCATACCACCATCACCACCACTATTGCCGCTGCCACCACCACTATACCCCCGCCACCATCACACCCCCACCACAACCACCACCAACACCGCAACCACTACCACCACCACACCACCACCTTCACACCACCGCCGCCGCCACCACCACCACCATACCACCGCAACCACCGTCGCCGCCACCACTACCACCATACCACCGCCACCGCCATCACCACCATACCACCGCAACCACCGCCACCATACCACCGCAACCACCGTCGCCGCCACCACCACCACCACCACCATACCACTACAACCATTGTCGCCGCTACCACCGCCACCACCACCATACCACCACAACCACCATCGCCGCCACCACTACCACCATACCACCGCCACCGCCATCACCACCATACCACCGCCACCACCACCACACCACCGTCACCGCCGCCGCCACCACCACCACCATACCACCGCAACCACCGCCGCCACCACCACCACCATACCACCGCAACCACCGTCGCCGCCACCACCACCGCAACAACACGACCACTGCCACCACCGTCATACTACTACCACCATCACACAAACACCACTACCGCCGTCACCGCCACCACCAGCATACTACCGCAACCACCGTCGCCGCTGCCACCACCATACCACAGCAACCACCGCCACCACCATCACACCGCCGCCGCCGCCACCTCCACGACCATACCACCGCAACCACCACCGTCGCCACCACCACCATACCACCGCCACCACACCACCACCGTCATACCACCACCAATTATTATTATTATTATTATTATTATTATTATTATTATTATTATTATTATTATTATTATTATTATTATTATATAACGAATAACACCACTACCACTACACCACCACCATAATATTTTTGATATATTATTAGTTTTTTTTTTTGAAAAACTTAGCTATTTTTTATTATATTTAAAATTAATATTATATTATTATATATTATTATACATGTTGTAATATTCTAAATAAAATAATTAAAATGTTTAATTATACAATTCTACTCATTTTCCAGAAAATGAACCAAACACAGAAAAACAGTTTTCCATAATGCAACCAAACACTGAAAAGGAAAATGTTTTCCGGAAAATGACTCATTTTCCAGAAAACATTTTCCAGAAGTCATTTTCCTGCTTTCCAAACGGACCCTAACTGAAGTCCAAGAAGTATTAGGTTCGTTGATGTCACTCGGTGGTTTTAAGGTAAGCATGCAATGCAAGCCCACCACAACAGGAAATAATAATTAAGAATGAAATTCAAACTAGTCCGATCCCAAAAGGAGAAACCCACCATTTTTTGACAAAAAAAAAATAAAAATTGCATTTCAATTAAGTTGGTAAAAAGATTGAGAATACAACGAGGAACGAGGTCCCAAAAATGAGAGCCAGCCACCCTAATTAGAGTGTGGGCGATCTGGTTCTCTGACCAATTAATGAAAATACAAGAAATTTACCAACAAAAGAGAAAATTCATCATTTATTTTATATATATAGATTTTAGAACAACAAATTAAATTAAAAGATCAAACCGCAGACTTAATACTTGAGCTGTAGCCATTGTCAAAAACTTTAGACCAGAGCATCACGCCTCCATATTGGGACCCTCGATCGCCGGGAGAACCTGAGAATTAAGCACATCGGCCAGAATGATTATTATTGATAATAATTCTCATTTCACCCTACTACCAAACATGCAAAATACTTTCACTAAAATCCATTACCATTACCAAGTATTTGATACCCATTTCGATTTCGATTTCGATTCTCATGTGCGAACCAAACACACCCATAATACTTTTAACCGCTACTTTAACGGTCAAAGCGAGCCCCTTTATTTCTTTCATTCTGAATCAAATCTCATGAAAAAGTAATACTTTTACATCAAAATATAAAAGTATCACATTTGTTCTCAAAAGTATTATATGTTTTCGTTTATAATAAGTAACACACATTTTATTCCTGATTTAGTATTACATTTGCTAGTATAAGATTACATTTGCATATTGGCCCGACTCGACCCGTTTAACGGATAAAGATCCGTGACACGGTCTCACACAAATGTGACCCTTAAATTCTAGTACTTAATTGTTTGTTATTTAATTTTCAATGAGAAGAATTCTTGTTTTAAAAATTAATGTGTTTTTATTAAATTTATCTATATTTTATTTTGTATTGTGGTCTTATAAATGTTTTGAAGTATTTCTTTGATGCAGAACAATATTTAAAAGATTATTCGGTGCATCGAAATATCTTCTTCTCTCAAATACTACATAATGAACTAGTGAGCTAAGTCCATGCGGGCATATACTGAAATATCGCATACACTCTTTGATGAGCTAATTAATTTGGTGGTTTGAGAGATTTGGAACTTTCTTAGTTTAGATTATGAAAGATTTAAGTCTTTGAAAGATGTTCTTAATTAAATTGTTTAAACAAGAAAGTAGAAAGTATAACAACTATGTACCAAATTATGAATATAATTCCCATAGCAGTTAACCAAACTCTAGTTAGGTTGGCTAATATTAAAACACAAATTAATTTTTTTAAAGAAAGAAATGTTGTAACTCAATTTTACATTCAAATTAAATATTTCTAACACATTCTTACATTTTAAATCATATTATACTTTATTGTTTAATACATTATACTTTATTGGTAACTTAAAATAAGCTATTAGTATCAAGGACCTTGTGGTCCAATGGTACCAAATTGCTTTTTTATGTGGGAGTTGATGGATTTGAGCCTCGATGGGAGCGTGGTAGCTTGTATATGCCAAAAGATGCGGTCAAAACAGCCAGAACCACACCTATAACCCAAGTCAATTCATGATGTTTTTTAAATCCGCCGGTGACCATCATATATAATACAATTTGATAGTCAAGCCTGCCCCAAATAAGGAGAATCGTTATGCCATGGAATCGTGTTCACCATCCATGGTGAACACGGTCCCAACGGTAACGGTGCACCGTTATCTTTCTTTCTTTCTTTCTTTTTAACTGTACGAGTTTTCTTCTTCATTTTCACATTTCTCGGTTTTACTTTCTCTTCGCGCAAGTATCTTCAACATTCATAAATTATGAATGTGCATGCATGGATTTATAAATGAGCAGTTATGAAATTATGAATTTTCTTTTATGAGATTATGAATTTTCTTTTATGAAATTATGAATTTTCTGTTATGAGATTATGAATTTTCTGGTATGCGATTATGAATTTTCTGTTATGAGATTATGAATTTTCTGTGAGATTATGAATTTACAGAAAATTCATAATTACATAACTGTAAGTTCATAATCTCATAACAGAAAATTCATAATCTGAATAAACGCGCACCGTTAACAGCACATTAACTAATTTTTTTTTCTATAAAAACGATACCGACACGTTTCCAGGGCATAATTTGTGAAATAAGGAGCTGCCACGACACAGCCGTGCTGTTTGTTTTTCCTGGATGAGAGCTTATAAAAAGCGGCCTTTACTTCCTTGCAGATCCAACTAACATCCAATCCTAAAACTACTACACACGATATGGCGTGTAAGATCGTAATTGCCTTCTCTCTTCTGCTCCTTTCTTCGATCAACATCTCTCTGGGGGGAGAAATCGCCATATATTGGGGCCAAAATGGGGGTGAGGGCACTCTAGCCGACACTTGTGCCACCAACAACTACAACATCGTAAACATTGCTTTCTTAACAACGTTTGGCAGTGGCCGGACTCCGGTCCTCAACCTCGCCGGCCACTGTGATCCTGGTAGTAACCAGTGCACTGGCCTGAGCGACGAGATCCGAGCCTGTAAGAGCCAAGGCATCAAAGTCTTGCTTTCCATTGGTGGTGGCGCCGGAAGCTATTCCCTTTCCTCCGCAGATGATGCCAGGAATGTGGCACAGTATCTGTGGGGCAACTATCTTGGAGGGCAGTCAGGGTCAAGACCACTAGGGGATGCAGTCCTTGACGGAATTGACTTCGATATAGAGTCCGGCGGCGGCCAATTCTACGACGAATTAGCCAAAGCATTAAAAGCGTTTGGAACAAACGTCTTATTGACAGCGGCGCCGCAATGCCCATTCCCCGATCAAAGTCTGCAAACCGCCATAAACACCGGCCTCTTCGACTACGTTTGGGTGCAGTTCTACAACAACCCTCCCTGTCAGTACAACGGCGACGCCACCAATCTTTTGAACTCTTGGAACAATGACTGGTCAACCATTCCCACCGGAAAACTATTCTTGGGTTTGCCAGCGTCCCCGGAAGCAGCCGGAAGTGGTTTCATTCTGGCAGATGTGCTAACTTCTCAGATTCTCCCGGCTATCAAGGCCACACCCAAATACGGTGGCGTAATGCTATGGTCTAAGTTCTATGACAATGGCTACAGCTCCAAGATCAAGCCTTATGTCTCTATGGTTACTCAAAACTATATTACTTCATATTTGCCGTCCTCTAGCTAAATACTAAATGTTTGAGATCAGATCGGATGTAACATAATATTGTACTAGCTAGCTTCTACGTACTTATGATGGATTATATTCATCACATCAAATAATAATATAATGCATCTATAATAAAGCTAGCTTGCTTTAATTTAATTTGTTGTTAAATATAATAATGGAATGTCCCACCATTTACTCCACCGTACCAAACTAAGCAGCATGTGTATATGGTAAGGCCACTTATTACCAATTGAAGCACACAACTGCAGAACTCATCCACAACTTAAACTGATGATGAATGCATCATAATTCACATTTAATCACTTTAATTAACACTTAAAAGGTGGGGAGAGTAGTTGCTTACATTAATTAAACATATCAAATAATTTGTCTGTTATAGAGGTAATCTGTGAATGGTGGACTGAATTTGTGATTGATGTACGTACGCCATTTCCCATGTACATCCCGGTCGTCTTCTTCACGAGAAGGTGACGGTTGTCTTTCCGTTAAAAGTGGTGGTAAATTGAGTTTTTTTAGCGATGAATAATCGGTAACTAATACCAATAAACATTGTTTATTTGATCTATTTTGATAAGTCTGAGTATTTAATTAAACCTTTTTAATGTTGAATGATTTAATTGCACTTTTAAATGAAATTTAAGGTTATCATTAATGTTGAAGGATTTAATTGCACTTTTAAATAAAATTTAAAGGTTACCAAGGACCTTGTGGTCCACTGGTATCTCAATAAAGTCTATGATTGGTTCGAAGAACGTCTGGAGATTCAGGCGATTGCGGATGATATAACTAGCAAATATGTTCCTCCCCACGTCAATCTATTTTATTGTTTAGGGGGAATTACGCTTACTTGTTTTTTAGTACAAGTAACTACCGGGTTTGCTATGACTTTTTACTATCGTCCTACCGTTACTGAATTTTATTGTTTAGGGGGAATTATGCTTACTTGTTTTTTTAGTACAAGTAGCTACCGGGTTTGTTTTTTTAGTACAAGTAGCTACCGGGTTTGCTATGATGACTTTTTACTATCATCCGACAGTTACTGAGGCTTTGTTAATCCGATCCGTTCATCGATGGTCGGCAAGTATATATAACACATAATATTCCTAGGTTTCGTTACGTTCTATACTTATCATGCATATCAGAGAGGTGTTTCACTGTTTCTAATCTCCTTTTTTGGAATACAATAGCACAAGAAAGAATATACCAACTTATCATGCAATGCAAGCCCACCACAACAGGAAATAATTAAGAACGAAATTCAAACTAGTCCCAAAAGGAGAAACCCACCATTTATTTTATATATATATAGATTTTAGAACAACAAATTAAATTAAAAGATCAAACGGCAGACTTAATACTTGAGCTGTAGCCATTGTCAGTGAATTTAGACCAGAGCATGACGCCTCCATATTGGGGTGTACCCTTGATCGCCGGGAGAATCTGAGAAGTAAGCACATCAGCCGGAATGAAACCACTTCCGGCAGCCTTCGGGGATGCAGGCAATCCCATTAATAGTTTCCGTGTGGGAATGGTAGACCAGTTATCTTTCCAAGATTTCAGAAGATCGGTTTTGGTATCCCCAGAATACTGACACGCGGCGGTAGGGTTGTTGAAGAATTGCACCCAGACGTAGTCGAAAAGGCCGGTTTTTATGGCCGCTTGTAGCCGTCGATCCGGGAAGGGACATTGAGGAGCTGCTGTCAAGTACACTTTTTCCCCAAACGCTGATAAGGCCTTCGCCAATTCGTCGTAGAATTGGCTGCCGCCTATAACTATAGCAAAGTCGATTCCGTCCAGGCTTTCATCCCCTAGTGGCCTTGACTCCGACTGCCCTCCAAGATAATTGTCCCACAGATATTGTGCCACATTCCTGCGTGTATATATATATATATATATATATATATACTTTGTTAGGCTGACCACCTTTAAACCCGTACAATTGACTAATCTTCATTCACACCAGACCAACCCGTGACAAAATGCTAGTCAGATTGATTTTTCACATTATTTGTCCACTAATTATAAAGTCATAAGGCTAATTTACCAGTGTATACTTTAAAATAGTGACTGGGGTTTCTCTTGTCAGTCAATACACTCAAAGTGTAAATCAATAATGAAACTATCTCATAAAAGTGTAAACAAATAATGAAACTATATATTAGAAAGAGAGAATTGAATTGGGCATATATACTTGGCATCATCAGGAGAGGAAAGGGAATAGTTTCCGATGCTGCCACCAATGGAAAGCAAGACTTTGATGCCTTGGCTCTTACAGGCTCTGATCTCGTCGCTCAGGCCAGTACACTGATTACTAGCAGGATCGCAATGACCAGCCAGGTTGAGGACCGGAGTTTGGCCATTGCCAAACGTTGTTAAGAACGCTATGTTTACGATGTTATAGTTGTTGGTCGCGCAGGTGTCTCGCAGGCTGCCCTCGTTCCCATTTTGGCCCCAGTATATCGCGATTTCTGCCCCGAGAGAGATGTTAAGCAAGGAAAGGAGCAAAAGAGAGAAAGCAAATATTATGTTATACGCCATATTTTTTGTAGTTTAATTTGAAGCAAATATTATGTTATACGCCAAAACAGCAAGTCTGTATCGTTTTATATGCTTACTTCCCAGGAAAACTAAATATATTGTATGCTTTGTTAAATATATGATCATATCTTTCCCAAATCGTTGAAAATTGTGTAATAAACAATTTTGGTAACAAGTACGATTTTATAATACAATAGGATTGGCATGCAACATATTATTATTCATATTTGATTAATAATTAGATTCATTTTTTAAGTTATTATTAGATTCATAATAACTAATAGATAAAACGTTTTTATTTTTTGAGCCCCTGGGAGTAGTATTTACCTTTTGTGTTTCAGTAGATTTGAAAATAGCTATGAACAAATACTACATACATTGTAACATAGTTAAATTGGTTAGACTGTTAATTAACTTGATAAACAAAGTTACGAATTTCCTTTGTTACTCAAAATATGACATATTATAGGTTTAAATAAATACTATACATATATGATCATATCTTTTCCTAAATCACTATAATTGTGGCATAAATAATTTTCATAACGGGTATAATTTTATAATACATATGGTCGCAAATGTATTGCCAAAATAGTTTAATGAGTCCATCAATTTATAAAAAATTCCATTTATATAATTAAAAAAAAAACAATTTTTAATATGTAAAATGACATAATTATGGATCGGACTAATTATGTAAAATGACATAATTAAGTAGGTACCCAATGAAAAAAAAAAAAAAAAAAAAACTAGTACAATATAATATTATGTTGTCATAAATGAAAAGGAGAAACATTATTTATGTTTTAGATTAGAACGTACAACAAACATGAAGTAGTATAGTTTTGATCAAACTGCGGACTTAATACTTGAGCTGTAGCCATTGTCGTAGAATTTAAACCATAGCATTACGCCTCCATATTTGGTTGAACCCTTGATCGCCGGGAGAACCTGAAAAGTAAGAACATCTGCAGGAATGAAGCCGCCTAAGTAGGCGGCATCATGAGAAGCAGGCAATCCCATTAATACTTTTTGTGCGGGAATGTTTGACCAGTTATTGTTCCAAGAGTTGAGAATATCGGCGGTGTTCCCGTCAGAATATTGACAGGCGGCGTTGGGGTTGTTGTAGAACTGCACCCAGACGTAGTCAAAAAGGCCGGTGTTTATGGCGGCTTGCAGATTTTGATCGGGGAATGGGCATTGCGGCGCTGCTGTCAATAAGACGTTTGTTCCAAACGCTTTTAATGCTCTGGCCAGGTCGTCGTAGAATTGGCCGCCGCCGGACTCTATATCGAAGTCGATTCCGTCAAGGACTGCATCTCCTAGTGGCCTTGACGGTGACTGCCCTCCAAGATAGTTGTCCCACAGATACTGTGCCACATTCCTGAACACACAAAATGTTGAGTGAATAAGATAATGTTACCCGCTTTTTGTAAAGGACCTTAGGGTATAGTTGCACCAAATTGTTCTCCCGTGAGAGATTGTGGGTTCAAGGGGTAGTCTTAGATTCTGAAAAAATACGCGATTTAAAAAAAAAATGGTGCAAACTGAATAACGGAGTCAAAAGTTATGACTTGCCAAAGTTTCTACACTTTGCAACTAGTAGAAACTTCAACAAGTCAACACTAATATTATAAAATGTGTTTGGACGGTTCAACCGGCTAGCGGTGGCCTAACTGCCAAATCAAGTTAAGGACAACTCCAGTCAAGTTGATCAGAGTATTAGCATAGTAATTTATAAACAACCTAAATTGATGTATTTGGTCATTTGGCAATTAAAGTCACAATATCAGAATATATATAGTGATTTTTCTTGTCACTAAAAAAGTACTCCGCAAAAAGTTAGAGATAAAAAAGGGAGAATCGGGCTTACTTGGCATCCTCAGGGGATGAAAGGGAATAGTTTCCGACGCCGGCACCGCCAATGGAAAGCATGAGTTTGATGCCTTGGCTCTTACAGGCTCGGATCTGGTCGCTCAGGACAGTACACGGGTTACTACCAGGTCCACAGTGGCCGGCGAGGTTGAGGACCGGATTCCGGTGACTGTCAAACGTTAAGAAAGCAATGTTTACGATGTTGTAGTTGTTGGTGGCACAAGTTTCGGCTAGAGTGCCCTCACCCCCATCTTGGCCCCAATATATGGCGATTTCTCCCCCCAGAGAGATGTTGATCAAAGAAAGGAGCAGAAGAGAGAAGGCAACTACGATCTTACTCGCCATATCGTGTGTAGTAGTTTTAGTATTGGATGTTGGATATGCAAGCTAAGGAAGTAAAGGCCGCTTTTTATAAGCTCTCTTCCTGGAAAACCAAACAGCACGGCTGTATCGTGGCAGCTCCTTATTCGGCCTCGTTTGGGTGGCATGACTTCCAAATTGTATTTTATTGCGCGTCAATGGAGTCCTGGAGGAAGAAAAGGTCGACAGAATAATATAATATTCCAAGAGTTCCTAGTTCTGTTGCAGAAAAGTGTTTCAATTTATCTCAGTTCAATTAGTTTAACTGATCACCTAAGTCTTGTTCTAGTGTAAAGATTTAATTAATTAAAGGTAATAAAAATTCCTTATGCACAGAATGTCAATGTAGATATTTAGGAGAATTAAGACTAGTATGACCTATGCTGAGAAACCTAAATCATTAAATCATGGACCATGATCCACCTTATAAGAACTACTGACATAAAATATATTTTTATTATATTAAAAGTATATTTTTAATATATTAAAATTTCATTTTTAAAGATATATTATTTGGTATACTACCAAATAATATACTTTCAGTATATAAATAATGTGCATTCAATATATTAAAATATGAATTATAAAATTTATTAATGATTTATATTGCAATGTGGATCATGAACCACACTATAATTTGTCGGGAAGGAGCTGAGCGTTATGCTGTGCAAGTGTGCAACCGTGTGCGCCATGGTTGCAAAAACGACGTCGTTTTGACGTCCGACTTAAAAAAAAAAAAAAATAGAATTGCATAGCTACACATCCATAACTTCATAACTATAAATCCAGAATTGCATGCATAATTACACATTCATAACTTCATAACTTCATAACTATACATCCAGAATTACATAACTATACATCCATAACTTCACAACTATAAATCCAGAATTGCATAACTACACATCCATAACTTCATAATTATAAATCCAAAATTGCATAACTACGCATCCATAACTTCATAACTATACATTCAAAATTGCATGCATAACTACACATCCATAACTTCATAACTATACATTTAGAATTGCATGCATAATTACAAATCCATAACTTCATAACTATAAATCCAGAATTGCATAACTACACATTCATAATTTCATAACTATAAATCCAGAATGTGAAATTATAAAATTATGAACATATGTTTACGTAACTAACGACAATCGAAAATGATTTTTTTTATTTAAGTAAAACGACGCCGTTTTTGCATCCGTGTGCACCCTGCATCAAACGAGCTAACCCGTTCGTTGGACACCTCTACCAAAATAGTTTAATGAGTCCATCAATTTATTAAATAATTCCATTTATATATTAATTCCATTTTTGGTCATATATTTACGGGTGATAGTCCACTTTAAGTCTTCTTCTTTTTTAATCAGAACATCCACTTTTGGTCCTAGTATTATTGTGGCACGACCATTATATTTTTTATCCTTTATCAACAAAACAGGTTAAACATCGTTAAATACAATGACATTTTGGTCTTCAATTATGAATTTTTTCAAAATAATAGACGTAAAAAATATAATGGTTTAACCTATACTACTTTGTATAAAAAAGATTGAAATGTCTTTTGTATTTAACGTCATTTCAATGATTTTGTTGATAGATGACTAAAAATGATCATGTCACAACAATATTATGACCAAATGAGGATGTTCTATTAAAAATGGACTAAAAGTGGACTCTCACCTATAAATATATAACCAAAAATGAAATTAACTCTAAAAACAATTTAATATGTAAAATGACATTGATGGTTTTATTGGGACCGGGTCCACCATAAACCGAGTATAGAAATATAGAACGGGGTAGGAAAATAATAGCTTTATTACCCGGGGCGCTATGTCCGAAATAGTACCTACAAAGTCCAAGGTACATGCCCAGAATGGCAACCCAAATACAAAGACCACGGCCCAATAAATGGGCTATAACTAACTATGCTACTGGCAGGAATCGAACCCAGGCAAAAGAGTTGAGAGCATGAGATCGAGACTACTAGATCGTAGTGCCTGTCGTGTCCCCGGTTAGGAATTCAGACCCCTATTTATAGCATACTCCCCCATCCGAGGTCGTCTGCGTGTACGTCCCAAGATCAACATTCTTCCTGGGAAGCGCCACGTGCCCCACGTTGCACCCCACTACTTCCCCCACACCCCTTATTACGTCGGCACGTCAACCCCCCCCCCCCCCCCCCCTCTCGGATCACGAACGCATGTGGATGCGGGGGCGTGCCGCGTCGCGCTGCCAGCGATACCACACATTGCCCCCGCGCGTGGGGGCGCCAGGGCCTCTAGCTGCGCCGTCAGCGGCTGGGGCTAACGCGCCCCAATCGGCGACCCCTTCCATCCAGTGGTGTAGCACCGCACACTGCCCCCCGCGCCAGGAGGCGCTGGGGCCGCACCCAGGCGTGCTGTCGTGACTAGGGCCAGCACCCCAGTCGGCGACCACCTCCGGCGATGACACTCCCAACCCTCTGGCGACACCCGATACCTCACCTCCTCCTCTCGACCCACTTCACACCCTGGCCCAATATCATAAGTCCACTGAAGCCTTAGCTCATAACCAATATACCTATGAGACATAATTATGGATCGGACTATATATATGTGGACTAGCTACCTGCAGTCATTCCACTTGGAATTGTGGAATTAGTTAAATACATACGGGGTAATACATTATAGTTTGCATGAGTAAATCATGGGTACATTCATTATTGCACTCCGTTTAAGTTTCATAACAATATTTTTATTCTTTTTTATTTTTTATTTTTATTTATATCGTATACTTTGATGCATCATAATTCATAAGTAGGTACAAAAAAAGCTAGTACAATAAAATATAATGTTGTCATAGGAGAAACATTATTTATGTTTTAGATTAGAACAACACAAATGAAGTAGTATAGTTTTGATCAAACTGCGGACTTAATACTTGAGCTGTAGCCATTGTCATTGAATTTAGACCATAGCATTACGCCTCCATATTTGGTTGAACCCTTGATCGCCGGGAGAATCTGAGAAGTAAGAACATCGGCAGGAATGAAGCCATTGTTGGCGGCATCCTGAGAAGCAGGCAATCCCATTAAAACTTTTTGTGCGGGAATGTTTGACCAGTTATTGTTCCAAGAGTTGAGAATATCGGCGGTGTTTCCGGCAGAATATTGACAGGCGGCGGTGGGGTTGTTGTAGAACTGCACCCACACGTAGTCGAAGAGGCCGGTGTTTATGGCGGTTTGCAGGCTTTGGTCGGGGAATGGGCATTGCGGCGCCGCTGTCAATAAGACATTTGTTCCAAACGCTTTTAATGCTTTGGCTAATTCGTCGTAGAATTGGCCGCCGCCGGACTCTATATCGAAGTCGATTCCGTCAAGGACTTCATCCCCTAGTGGCCTTGACCCCGACTGCCCTCCAAGATAGTTGTCCCACAGATACTGTGCCACATTCCTGGCATCATCTGCGGAGGAAAGGGAATAGCTTCCGGAGCCACCACCAATGGAAAGCATGACTTTGATGCCTTGGCTCTTACAGGCTCGGATCTCGTCGCTGAGTCCAGTACACTGGTTACTACCAGGATCACAGTGGCCGGCGAGGTTGAGGACCGGAGTCCGGCCACTGCCAAACGTTGTTAAGAAAGCAATGTTTACGATGTTGTAGTTGTTGGTGGCACAAGTGTCGGCTAGAGTGCCCTCACCCCCATTTTGGCCCCAATATATGGCGATTTCTCCCCCCAGAGAGATGTTGATCAAAGAAAGGAGCAGAAGAGAGAAGGCAACTACGATCTTACACGCCATATCGTACGTAGTAGTTTTAGGATTGGATGTTGGATATGCAAGGAATTGAAGTAAAGGCCGCTTTTTATAAGCTCTCTTCATGGAAAACCAAACAGCACGGCTGTCTTGTGGCAGCTCCTTATTCGGCCTCGTTTGGATGGCTTGACTTCCAATTTGTATTGCGCGTTAATGGAGTCTTGGAGCCAGGGAGAAAAGGTCCAACTGCAATGTGTACACAAGTAAGATCAGACAGAATTTATATTCCAAGAGTTCCTAGTTCTGTTGCATAAAAGTGTTTCTATTTATGGACAAAATTAAAGCAGCAAACAATACTAACTCAGTTGGTTTGACTGATCACCTTAAAATCTTGTTGCAGTGATAGTGTAAGGATTCAACCAATCAGAGGTAATAAAAATCCCTTATGAGAACCTAAAAACTGTGACTCGCCAGCGATTTTTATGTAGAGATTTTGGAAACTTAAGACTAGTATGACTTATATGCTGAGAAAGCTCAATCATTAAACGATGGACCATGATATACCTTGTAAAGTAAATCAGATTATTAATATAGTATCAAATAATCTACTTTCAGTATATAAACAATGTGCATTGTGTATACTAAAATACGAAATATAAATTTATTAATGATTTACATTGTAATGTGGTCATGATCCACACTATAATTTGTTGGGAAACCTAATGTATATTAAAAATAAAAATAAAAAAGTTATGGACTAAAGCTTGGTTTCTGGAATACTTTGCCCCAAAGAAAAACACAAACTTTTAAGAGAAGCTAAGAGACGACAAGATAAAAGCCCAAAGAAAAACACAAACTTTTGTCTGCTGATGAAACTTCCAGGATTACAGTCATACTGTCTCATGGACGGATAGTTATGCTGTGCATCCGTATGCATCATGCATGGTGCATACGGATGCAAAAATGACGTGGTTTTATTAAAAACGTGTGTCTCTTTTTAAAAAAAATTCAAGTTCGATTCTTAGTAACAGCATTATGTTGTTCATTCATTCTGGAATTTTAGTTTATAGATTATGGAATTTTAGTTCATTGATTTTGGAATTGTAGTTCATCGATTCTGGAATTGTAATTCATCGATTCTGAAATTTTAATTCATAGATTCTGGAATTTTAGTTCACTCATTCTGGAATTTTTAGTTCATAGATTAGATTATGGAATTATAGTTCATCGATTATGGAATTATAGTTCATTGATTCTGGAATTTTAATTCATATGTTGTTGCTGGGAATCGAACTTGAAATTTTTTTTTTTTAAGGGGAGACACGCGTTTTTAATAAAACGACGTCGTTTTTGCATCCGTATGCACCATGCATGGTGCATACGGATGCACAGCATAATTTGCCCTCATGGACCATCTTGGTTTTAGGCTTTCTCCAGAATCAATTAAGCCCAACAAAGGCCCAGATTTAACAGACACAAGTCCACATTCCACAACAACAGGGAAGAAGCTATGAATACATTACATTGATTCACAAGTATGTACAAAATGATGCTCCATTACAAAACAAAATGATGAAAATAATTAAAATGGGCTCAGAATTATTAATCATTCCCACTTAAAAAACAAGAACAAGGTAATATGGAAAAGACACAAGACAACTTCATAATTTGCTATTAATTGGTTGTTTTGTACAAAAATCAAGTCTTTGTAAGAAAGGATTGTGTGTCCTCAACTAGAGATCGAGCACATTAACCATTTATATCAAAAGACATTTAGGCAACACCCAAATGAATTGGACATGTCCCTTGCAGATCAGGTAGTTAAATTCCAATGGTTATTTTGACTGGGGATCATTACGCTGAGCTTAGTGCCAACTAAGGCAATAAGGCCACACCCTAGGGTGACCTTGAGGTCAAACCTCAGGCCACTTAAAGTCATTTTGAACTTACTTTTTTAGTTTTCGCTTCTTCTAAACTTGTCTTCTTAGGTTAAACTTAATGTCTCTATCAAATGAAATCTACTTATTAATTAAAATTTTTTTAAAAAAATCAAATAGTATAGGCGCAAATTATACGAGGGATACATGGCATTACTTTTATTTTATTAATGGAATAAGACATGTAGCAATGTCGTCCTATGTTAAAATGTAGTTTAATTTGATGTACGTACACAATAATATAATCATGATAATCCTATCCTAGTAAAGAGGAGACATTCCCCAATCCTATAATGATCCTTTGGAAGTATAGAGAAGAAACAATAAAGGGGCCGGGTGAGTGAATAAAAACAAGAAACAGTGAGAGGCAATATATGTGGTGAATCTTGGTGAGACCCCGCAGATCACAACCACCCCGCCCAGAGCCCCCCTACCCGCAGCTTTTTGGTGGCTGCCTGTATGCTCTTTCTGCTGCCTTCCACACCATTCCATTCCATCTGCCATAGTTGGAAAACTTGGTGGTTTTTTATTATTATAATGAGAATTTAAATTTTTTAATAAGAAATATAACTTTTTCGGCTACTTTACAATTGTCAACCACTCGTAACTGAATTCTAATCACAAGTGATCAGAAACTAAAATTGTTTTTATAAAAAAAATAGTCATTGTTGTAGGAATATTATGGCCATTCAGAAGTGTGTGTTTGGAAATCTGAAAAATATTTTTTGAAAAATGAGTCATTTCTCATAAAATATTTTTTTTCTAGTGTTTGGTTGCATTATATTTCAGAAAATTGTCTTAGTCTGTTTGGATCATTTTTCATAAATGAGCAGAATTGTATTTAAAAAATCAATATTATTTATAGAATTAAAAAAAAAAATGGTTTCCGGCTTCGAAAACCATAAGTACTTCTGGATTCCAACGGAAACTAGTAAATGATTTCCTTTGTGAAACCAGATAACCTGGTTCCCGACAGAAATTAACGATGAAGATGGAGAACAAGAAAAAAGTTGGTTTAGATTTTTCGAAAAAAGAAAAGTCATTTTCTGAAAAAATGGACTTATTTTTCCTTTGACCACCAATTTTCCCTATGCCAAACACTAAAAATCTAGAAAATGATTTCATCCGGATTTCCAAACACAATCTAAGTTTCTGTTGGAATACCAACTCCTTTTTTAATTTATGGAACTATGAAAGTAAAGCTTGTTTATTGCCACACGAAAGAGTGAACTACAAGTAATCAAATTAAATAAAATATAGAGTATTATTTGACTTGTTAAGTGAGCTGAGAAATCTTATTCAGTAAATAACATAAAAAAAATTTTACTTTTTTTTTTAATAATGTAATGTCACGTTAAACAGATTCTACTACTTAACAAATCACCAAGTATCCCTATATGTGAAATAAATGGTTGCATGCATCAGTGTCCAATTGCATGTAGTGTAGAGTAGTTTAATTTGTAATGTAAAGTTGTAAACGAATAGCACATTCTCAACATAATAGGACAAATTACTGACCAAGATTGGATTTGGAGTTGTCCAATTTATAATATTATTTTATTTTTATTATTGTTGTTATATTGTATATGTAGTACTATAACATTATAATATTAATAATAAAATAATAATGTGTACCAACTGGAACTATTGAAAGTGAGGCATGAGTCATGACTCAAATATTTCTTGGCTGGAAAAAAAGGGTCACAAGGTTCACAGTGGAGCTCCCACTTACTATATGCAGCTGACTTTTTGATGTTACTATTACTTTTAAAATGATTTAATATTTTTATTAGCTAGTATGTAATCACATATTATATATTGATTTATTTATCAAATTTTATGATGTGAATTGACACCATCACCTTTTGTATTTAGTATAAATGGGTGAAGTTTTGGATTTGCACCGAATAGTTGGAGGATCTAGAGTAACTGGCCATTTATATCATGGACCATGATCTACATAGCATTATAGATTCTGGATCAAAACGACGAACTACAAAATTTATATTCGCAATATACATAATTTCATAACATGAGACATAAAAAATCACAACACAAGATACATACACATGTTATATATTTACTTATTTTTCAAATTTGATTTAAATACATAATTTGTATTAATAATAAGCACATAATTTCACAACACAAGACATATAAATTCATAACATAAAGACACAATTACTAATTTGTTTTAAGTAGAGAATTCATATTCTTAATGTACAAAATTTCATAACACAAGATACAAAAACTAACAACATAAGGCATACACATGCATTATATATTAGGGTTCATAATGTTATAAGGATTGAGTGGAACTCTAAAGTAAATTGGTAGGGCTTTAATTCAAAGGCTTGCCTATTCATTTTGGTGTTGCATGAGGTATAAGAGGCATTGTGACTATCAACACTATTGATTTTTTATACTTTTTATTTACCTTTTAAGTATATAAATTTTAAGAATGTTTACAATGTTGATTGCTATTTATATCTTTTACGCCATGTACAATTATATATATCGTCCTTTCAAGATTTTATCTAGTATTGTCAACTCTTGTCTAAACATTTCAAAACAACCCTAATAAAGTATTTAATTGATTTGGAGGAGAGAATTAGGGAGAAAATGAATTTTAATTTCGTGAGAATAAAATAGAAATTCATATTAATTATTTAGTAAGGAAAAATAAAATTATATTTGAGAATGATAAGGGAAGAAATGATATAAAGACTAAAAACCTAGATGCTCCGCACTTGGAGTGGATAGATCCCTCACCAATAATAGGAGTCATCGTCTTTCATATTATTGTGCAATAATAATAGAAGTAATAGTAATAATAATTCAACCAAACAATGTATATTTTTTTTGAAGGGATATTATTATTATTATTATTATTATTATTATTATTATTATTATTATTATTATTATTATTATTATTATTATTATATCTTAAAAAATAATAATATACATTGTTTGGTTGAATTATTATTATTATTATTATTATTATTATTATTATTATTATTATTATTATTATTATTATTATTTTAGACTGCATAGGTTCTTGAATTAGATCAAATCAATGTGCCTATGAAAAGGGAAAAAAAAATAAAAGGTAAAATCCATCTGTGATTGCTGAACTGGATCGTACCGTCGATGAGCATCGCACTGACCGCATTATTAGCGACAAAGAAGAAACGATTTTTTAAATTAATTGCTTTTGTCTATTAATTAATGGTATTTATTAAATTAGAATAAAATAACTAAACAATGTATTTTTTGAGATTAGCATTGGATCGCATATTCTGCGACGCTGCAACCAATATGTTCCATTCCTTCTCTTTTGTTTTCTTGCTTCTAACTTTCATTAAAAAATGCCGAAATAAATAAATAAATTAGTAAATATAAAAATAAAGAAAAATCAATGTTATTACGTTTGGCTTCTAATAATATATGGACTACTAGTTAATCAATATTAATATTAATGAAATTAATTAATTAATTAAGTATACTTTTTGTACGGAAAAAGGTTTTGTGAGTGCAAACCAAATGGCAAACATCCCATAAATTAGGTTCGTGTAATGTAAATTATTTTTTCTCATTTTATATAATTTATTGTTGGCGTTATTGTTTACAGGACGAGGCAATAACCCATAGCCTAACAAGTAGTGGGCTATTATGAGAGGCACTTAGTTGAGATTATACTTGAACAGTTTGTCCCCCTTTTATCCTCATATTTGATGTAGGAATTGAACAATACAAAATTTTTCTATAACATTGGAGGTGTTTGACAAATAACTGTTAATTAGTTGATAACTGTTAGTTGATTGAGTTAGTGTGTTTGACTAATTGATATCATTATTTGATTGTAGAAAGATATTTGGTAAAATGACAGTTTTGATTTACATGTTTAATTCTTACCAATTTTCATCTATGACTATTGTTTTAGTGCCAATTTTCATCCACGACTATTGTTTTAGTGTCAAAATTTATCACGCCGGTCACTCCTCCTTTTAAGACATGTCGAAATCTAAAAATTTTAAGGGTATTTTTGTAATTTTCAACTTAAGATCCCAATTTGAGCATAAATAAAGAGATTTAAACCCTAAGATCGATCTTAATTCACAGTTCTCCTCATCAGCCTACCTTAATTTGAGGAGGAGAATTGCGACCGAATTGGGATCGATCTTAGAGCTTGAATTCATTTATTTATGCTCAAATTGAGATCTTAATATGAAAATGACGAAAATACCTTTAATAATTTCATATTTCAACATGTCTTAAACGAATGAATGACCGGCGTGATAAATTTTGACACTAAAATAATAGTTGTGGATGAAAATTGGTATGAATTAAATATGTGGACCAAAACAGTCATTTTGCTAATACTCATGGAGTCATGGGATCAAAATTTGTATTTGTTCTTATAATTTATTTTCTCAAAAAACTATTCGAAAAAAAAAAAAATTTGTTTTGACCAGTTTTTTGATTTTAGCGATTTGAAGCAATAAGTTGTTACAAAAAACTGATTAATCAAACACTTATATTGACCGTTTAACGAAATCAAACAACTAATATTGCTCAAACAAGTCAAAATTGACTGATAAACTAACTATGTTACCAAACAGAGTCATTGTATTACAATGGGACTTTTGGGTGGTATAGCTGGCCTGAAATGTTACATATTGAGAATAATGAAACATGGCTAGCGAAAACACACTCTTGCTCCATAATTCTAATGTTTTTCATGCATTTACGTTGATTAATGTTGTTATTAGATTGAGGCCTAATTCCTAATACCATTAACGAGTACCATGGATCAACATCTATACAAGATTGAGCAAAATATCGTCCGTTCCGGTTCGTACAATAAATGTATTTTATTTTTTCAGTTCAGTACCTGAATCGTCCGTTTCGGTTCGTGATTTTAATAAACTCTAAATATCGAGTTTCGATTCTAAATTGTAATTGGAATATTTCGGTTTGGTTGCTATAGTGTTTGTTTGGTTTGAACCAAATTATTGTCATAATTTGTTGGAGAAGAAAAATAAATGAAATATTTATTTTAAATATTTATTTTAAGGGTAAATATGTCCATTTAACATTTCAGGGGAAAAAACAGTCAGTTGAATAATTCAGGGGGAGAAAGTGCTATAAGTATATAACTTAGGAGGAAGAAGTGCCATTTTCCCTAAATATATTCATAATGATTTGTATCGGACTGACTTTCTAACATGTAAACTTATATAAAAGATACTCGTTTTCACACTTCTTTATAATGTAAAAAGGTAAAAATCTATGTGAGATCGTGTCATGAGTCTTAATCTCTGAAACGGGACGAATCTTTAATTAATGAGGTTAAAATTTTGACACATTAATCAAAAATCAGACTCGCCTCACAGATTAAGACCCGTGAAACGGTCCCACACAAGTGTTACCCATATAAAAGTGCATGCATGCAGTAAACATGTATAATCATCATATTTTATAAAATAATTAAACAAACATATAATAATAATAATAATAATAATAATAATAATAATAATAATAATAATAATAATAATAATAATAACAACGATAATAATAATAATGTATGTCCAACCAAATCATTATGAGTACGTACGGACCGGAGTAGTTTTGATGAGGAAAATTGAGGTTATGGTTCAATATATTTGTTCGAAATTGAAAAGGTGCAACATGCCGACATGTGATAAGCTCGAAAGTCATAACGTGTAAAAGGTAACCACCAACCCACCAAAATGGTAATATACTATTTTCCACGTTGTACATGTTAAAGTTCTAAAAGTATCTTGATTTTAAAGGGATTTTTGCAGAAAAAAAAATATAAGATATGATTTTTACATTAATGGAGGTGTTTTTTTTTTTTTTTTTTTTTTTTTTTTTTTTTTTTTAAAGGAAAGATTAATGCATTAAATCAGAGGAAATACAATCAGCAAGAAAAGAGGGAGGCATATCGAACCACTTCCCGCAACCTGATATAGAAACGGCTTCCCTAGCAACACACGATTTTTACATTAATGGAGGTGAGATTTTTATGAAGATTTTTTTTCATCAAATCAACTTTTTTTTTGGGTTCCAATTAATGGTCAAAATGACAGTAATTTGTGCATTTCGTGCATTATTACACCTTGCACGTGCTAGCTGGGCGTGCGTTGAGGTTCATTTTTTTTTTTTAATCAAAATTGTTTTTCTTTTCTTTTTATCCCCATTCTCTCTCTCATATCTTCCGGTGGCTTGACAAAAACTCAAAAAGCATGTCTATTTGAGACTGCTCTAATGAAAACCTAGCCAATAACTACCAAATTTAAAATGACTTTTATAGGAGTGATTTGTTGGTTTTTTTTTAGTTTGAGCTGCTCAGCGCCGGACAAACTAGGCTAATTTACCTCTTATGGTCATTGTTGACTAGGATAACAAGACATGATTTATCATGTGCACGCCATCGAATAGTGGTTGCATGTTTTCCTCATACATACTGACATATATACATACATATATTTAGTCAAGTTGATTAGACTGTTGTCATTTATAAATAAACTAATTAAAATGTCCCTTCCAATAACAAACAGAGTCATTATAAATAAACTAATTAAAATGTCCCTTCCAATAACAAACAGAGTCTATAATGACTCCACTACTGAGGCTCAAACTCACAACCTTCCAAATAAAAGTCTAATCCGGGTACCATTAAACCATATAGTCTTAGTAAATATCATTTTATCATATTTTAACCATTATTTAATATTAGGGGTTGAGGTTTTCGAGCACACAAATTAAGGTAATTAACTATTTTTGAAACAAATTAGTTAAATATTTGATGATACATTATTAAAATAAATTATATAACAAAAAATGTTAACCACTATATACTATGATAACATATATATCTGTTACTCATTCTAAATGAGGATTATAAAATCAAATTTAAGTGATAGCAAGATAGCTGTGATGGAGTGACATAGTTATGACCTTTCAAATGAGAGATTTCAAGTTTGAACTCCAATGAAGATATTATCTTATAAAGAATTACCAAAATTTTTTGATTTACTAACAATACGGCCATATGGGTGGGTACTTAATAAACTACTTATACAGGAGAGTCGCTCTATACCAAAAATCTGTTTATCTACTCCAATGTCCTGTTAAAAACCGCCTCTGTTTCATTCCACTACCTGTCGTTTTTGCTACAACAAAGAAGCCTATAGACAAAGCATGAACAGCCCCGACCCTAAGCTCTATCTATCTCCTTCTATATCTAGACACATAGACAATGCTTTTGAACTAAAAATCCAAACTTTCGCCTATTTAAGGATATTCATCGTGTTTTGACGAAGAATCCAAGAGACCCACCTCGTACTTCAATGGTTCTTCAATGTTGCTCTACCGTCTAGGACTAAAGCTCCTGCCTTTCGTTTCTTGTTTTGTTTTTAGTTTCCTTTTCTCGTCATTTTTAGTTCACTGATCGCTCTCGAGTCGCTTCGCCAATCTGAGAAGACGCGGTTCGCGGCAAAGGTACATCGTTTATTATTTAATTCCTCCTTTGTTTTTTCTTCTTTTGGGAAAAATCAGATTTCAAGATCTGTTCTTGTAGTTTTCTTCGCTTGAATTTGAGTTTGTTGGGTGTGAACTGTCACTGTAGGACAACCTGCGATCGATATTCATGTGTGTTTTTGAATAAAATTAGCTCCACTTTCGGTTTTTTTTTTTTTTTTTTGTTTTTTTTTTTTTTTAATCCAAAATTCTGAAATTCGGATCGAATACCACTTATATGGAGTGTAAATTGGTGAGAGAACTGTTACTGGGCTTTTTCATTTTTCACATTCTGCCAGGCATCTTTAAATGCGTTTTTAACTTTTTGCGGTCTGAACTCTGAAGTCTGAAGCTTGCATTTTTACCCATTTTACCTTTCTGCTATTGAGGTACAATGATGTGATCTGTTTCCCAGATAAGCTTTTTAATCCAGATATGGTCTAGCTGTATATGGAAGCATTCTGCACTCTGCAGTCTAGTATTTTCAGATGAGATTAAAACTTTATAACCTTTCTATCAACATTGGTTAAATATTTCATTCTTCTTGCATTTCTGCTAATAAAGATTCAGTAAATGGTTTTTACATACTGTAAAATTTTGAGGGTTCATTTATGCTTCTGAGCTAGCATACTTTAAGTTGTGTTCTTGAACTGGAAAATGTAATCTGTATTTGTGTTTCCTCAAGGAGGTAAATCAGCCTAGTTTGCCCATAGCTGATTGGCTCAAACCAAGAAGGTCCCCTTGTAAAGTTGTGGTTACCAAATCAACAGTCTGACCAACTTGGTTGGGGTTGTCCCGGCTTAAGAATAGTTGGACTGAAAGGCATCCTCCTAAGAAACAGGTGTTGTTTATTTCATGTTGTCCAATTTCTTTAATTGTATTCTGGGAATTATGTTATACTTTGTTAGCTGGTTGAACTCATGAATGAATATTAGCTTAATGGTCCTGTCAAGTCTTTTGAATTTTCGCTTTCAATTGATTTGAAGAGTTCTCTCTTTTCCATTCGATACTTTTTGCTGTACAGGAATTTGTTGTTCATCATAATGGATGGGGAATCATCTTGGGTTATTCAATGCCTTAATGGCACAGCAAGAGATAAGGTTGTGTGTGATTCATTCTCGAAACTCAACAATGAAGACAGTAAAGAAGTTGTCCAAGTTCCTGTAAATTTATTGCCAGATGAATTGTTGGAACGCATTCTGGCCTGCTTGCCCATCGCCAGCATTTTCAGGTCGGGTTGTGTCTGTAAACGATGGAATGAGATTGTGAGTTCATTACGGTTTTTGCAAAGTTCCTCACAGTTCCCCTCAGGAAAACCATGGTACTTCATGTTCACGAGCTCAGATGAGCCAGTTGGTTATGCCTATGATCCAATCCTTAGGAAATGGCATAGTATTCAACTCCCTTGTATTGAGGCATCGAATTGGTTCATTGCTTCATCTTGCGGGTTGGTTTGCTTCATGGACAGTGACAGCAGAAGCCAGCTATATGTCTGCAATCCTATAACCAAAAGCCATAAGAGAATCGAGGAGCCTCAAGATCTTAAGTATTCCGACTATAGTGCATTGGGGATCTCAGTAGAGAGGAGACTTTGCAGTGTAAATCTCAATTACTGTGTCTCGGTTGTCAAATCGAAACAAGTTCCGGGAAACTTCTTTCAGTGGGATGTCTCGATCCACATATACGACTCTGAAACAATGATATGGGAGACTCCTACTTCCGAGACCTTAAGTGGATGGAGAGCTGGGAATGATAGTGTGATATGTGATGGCGTTTTGTACTTCTTGGTCCACTCTACTGGTGGCGATCGCCCTGATTATCGCCATGGGCTAATCACTTATAGTCTCTCGAGCAGGCCGACCCATGGTTCCTTGATGAGGAGTTTCATCCCCGTGCCAGGCTCCCTCACCTGTGGCCGTCTGATGAACCACAAGGAAAGCCTGATAATGGTGGGAGGGATTGCCAAACGAGACCGGCCCGACATTATAAAAGGTATTGGGATATGGGCGCTTAAAGGGAGGGAATGGCAAGAGATTGCCCGTATGCCCCATAAGTTCTTCCAAGGCTTTGGGGAGCTCGATGATGTCTTTGCTAGCAGCGGGACAGACAACCTAGTATACATCCAGAGCTATGGAGCTCCCGCTCTCCTCATTTTTGACGTGGAGCAGAGACAATGGAGGTGGTCGAACAAATGCCCCGTGACAAAGAGGTTTCCTCTTCAGCTCTTCACCGGCTTCTGCTTTGAACCCAGGCTTGAAATCACTCCCTAACATTCTTCATGCACTCATTCCTTTTCTTTACCTTTTGTCGTTTGCTTTTTTCGTCTCCTGCACTTATGATGCAACGTTTTCCATATAGCCTTTCTGGTGCGGTTTACTTTTGTTGTGTGACACAACATTTTTCACATAGTCTTTCTAGTGCAGTTTACTTCTGCTGTGTGACTTGTGAGTTATTATACCAGAGCGGAGTTGTGAATGTTCTGTATGTTGTTTTGTCGGCCTGTCGGGGAAGGTTGGAAAATAACGTGTGAACAAGGTGATGTCTTTGCCTTGTTTATGCCATTTTTTTAATAAAAAAAATTGTGCCAACCTTTTCTTGTTGAGGTTTAAGATAAAATGGTTTCATGCGATTTACTTAAAGAAATGGATTTGGTAGTTTTGTCCTTTACAGACAGCACAAATGGGAATTTCATAGCCATCTTGTCCTTTTCACACCAAACATTTACACAAAATCCCATGAATACAACTATCCACACGAAAACAAGAAGCTGACATATGAGCTTCTTATCCATCTCTAAGCAATCCCCCGGCGGCACGGCGCATTGCACTTCTCAAAAAGTTAAGAGTTTAATTTTGCCAAATAGTTTGTATAATTTATTATATAAATTATTACACAAGAACATGTGCTTACACAAAATCCCATGAATATAACTATCCACACACAAAAAAAAAAAAAAAAATCAATTCTCTGGTGGCATGACACATTGCATTTCTCAAATTGGAAAGTTATAAGAGTTCAATTTTTGCAAATAGTTGTCAAACTTGTTATACAAGCTATTACACAAGAACATATGTTTACTCTGAAATAATGACAAATAATTACTAGTGGAGTGTTGTAATATAAACGGTCTAAATAGAATTAAATCCGTTAAAAAATGGTGGATATGAACTTGGAATCCAAGTTTCAAGGCCCATAAACAACACCCTTATGGATCGTGGTATAAAGCCCAATGTTTGAGAAGAGGTTACAGGGGACAAAATATTGTACTCCAATCTGAATTTTGATTTGCACAAATTTGGTACTAACATATGATGTGCAGTTTAATGGGGGACCCGGACCACAATAAGTTCATCATTATCTTATATAGTACACATTAACAAAAACTTTGAAAATGTCTTATGAAAAATCAATCACATGTTTCTCTGCAAAAGTGTACTGTTCACAAAGAATCAAACTTGTAAATTATTATACGAAAAAACCCCAATAGGTGCATGACTTCGGAACTAACCAAAACTAGTGGAGTATGATTTTTCGTATGAGTTTATTTTTATTAATATTGTTTGTCATACTCATAGGAGTTGCATGCTAATCTTGTGAGTATTTTAAAGACCTCGATTGTTGTAGTTTTTTTCTGTTTTTGTTTCTTCTATCGAGAAAACGATATTGTAATTATATTTAAATAATATTGCAAAAATTTAAATACAAAGATGCATTTATCTATCTACTGGCGAAAACGACCGTTTCCAAATTACCCTTGCAATGAGGGAAGGAGGGACAGACACGAATGATGTTCATCACACCTTAGCTAACATGTTATAGCCTATGGACCACCAACTTTATGTCTTTGCTTCACATTACTTCTTGCCTTGTTGGACCATTTCTATAATTCTTGGCTTCAACTAGGATCACAACATTTCACAATCTTACTGTATGATTACCCATATACTTTGTATATTTTACAAAATTCTATAATACATACTGGTTAAAAAGTATTATTATGTTGTATTGTATAACGTGGAACGATTCTTATATTTCTTTATTTAGTTTGCAATATGGTTTGTACTTTGTAATTCTTGTATCTCACTTTATTTGTTTTTTACTTTTCTTTGTAGTTCATTTCAAAATAATTTCAATATTTTATATTTAAATTAACTACGAATAATCTGCAGTTATAAGTATGAACTCATTGAAGATATTTGAAACGTCAACATCTAGACGAGTTATAATAGTCAAATCGGTGCTCGGAGTTCGGCCTCGGAACTTGACCAATCGGGCTTGGCGGTGGGTGAATGAATTAAATGACAATTGCACAATTATAAGAAAATAATCAAAGTCAACCTAAATCATCTTCATCTTCTCTAAATATCTTAATTACTTTTTCCTAAATTACTTCCACCTCCCATTAATTGCGCACTCTACCATAAATATTCAGTTACTATAAGAGAGCCTGATTACCGCATTATCTATAAATATAAATCTTGAAAGTAGGAAAAAGTATGACTACCTTGTAAAGTTGTAATACTGCAAATTTTCTGAACTCAAAAAAATATGGATTTGAAGTACATGGTATGCAGATGCTTGATTCCTTAACCATTGATGTGTGCCAAGGTACGTGTCGCACCCATCAATAAGCCGCATGATTTAAGGTTAATATTCTTTTAATCTTCCCCAAATATACAGTGGGATGATTAGAATCCCACCTCTCCCTACTGCGTAGCCTGTGCTTTTGAGGAGGTAAAAGAACACGACCAAGATGCATGACACAAATGTTTCAGTTGAAAACGGGGAAAACAACAGAGGAGAGGGACATAGCGGCAGTTTAGTCTGAAACAAACGACACATTATTTGATGACAGATATGGGGAGAGAAGAGTGGAACACAGCCCACAATCAGCACGTATAAATTGAGGAGAAATGGAGTGAGTTTGTGAGAATATGAGGAAAAGTTTCAGACCGGACACCTGAGAATTTGGCATGCTTGAGATAAAGTTAAAGTCTTTGGCAATTGGCGGTGGAAAATCAAAGAGTTTGAAAATTTTGGAAGGAGAGGAGTGAGACAGGCACCCAGAATTTGAAAATTGGAGGGGAGAGAGAGTCAAAGAGAGATGGAGAGAGGGGGAAAAGGTGAAGAGAGAAGGTGGAAAAAGCAGGAAGAGTCATTGGGTGTAAAGTTGAAAAGAGGGGTTTTGGTAGGGAAAAGAGGGGGCAATTGTACTCCTTCTCCAACATGGAAATATGGGTTGGCTCAGACTGATGGCTCTCTACTTCAAGATTACACCTTTCCCTCCAAATCCAATTCCACCTCTCTCTCAGTCAGAAAGCTTGGGGCTAACCTCTGGGAAGTTCAACCCCTCCCCAGACTCAAGATGAACAAAGACAAGGGTTTTCAGCTCCCTACCCACTTGCCTCAGCCACTTGATCCCCCATCACAACAGGTTAATTTCTCATATTTCCTACACTTTTCTCTGTTTCTCAACTATTTTAATTTGCTTTCATCAAGATATGTACTTTGCAGTCTATGCTGAACTGAGTTATTGCTATCTGTATGAGTTTTTCTGTTTCTCAAGTGTTTTGCTTTGATCAAGATGCATACTTTACTGTTTGTCTGGTCTGTTTAGAGTCTTTGATGATGATATCTTGAAAGGTCCAGTAAATCTGCTGAAATGAGTTATTACTATCTGTTTCTCATGTATTTTGCTCTGCTGAACTGAGTTATTGCTATCTGTAGTTCATATGTTTCCAACAAAGTATGTAAGCTTTGTTGATTTAGTTTATGCATTCTTTTTTTGAGTGATGAGGGAAACCCACATTCATCACTACTAGCCGGCGAACTTGTAACCTTACGATTATCAAGTCAACAGTCCGACCAACTTGGCTGGGGTTACCCCAGTTTATATGCATTCTTGAATGAATGATATGATGTCTTGCCTTTAAATTGAGTGCCACCTGGTCCCTCCACAGTCCAAGGAAAGTTTAGTGACAGAATCATGAAGGGTGGGCTCAGTGTAATAATGGGCAGAGTTAGAATCTGTATTTGGATAATTTTCAGATTCTAACTTTGAGCTTTTGTTTCTTCTGGATAGAATACAGGTAGGGCTTGTTTAGGCCTCCCTCTACTATGAAAATTTGCCTCTTCTTCGGTTTTCGCTTTTTGTTCTTTTCCTTTATTAGCTTTTGTGCTGAAATCATTGCCATTGTCCTTGTGGCAGCCAGCAGGTGATTCAAGAGGTCATGTAGCATCATTAAGGAAGCAGCATAATAATCAATCTGTGGCGGAAAATGACGATGCTATACTGTGTGAATCTCCTGCAAGCTGCAGTAGCTCGATGGAGGTATTTTCGCTTGCCCTTCAATCCTGACTTATATGTGTAGTAAATTGAGAGCCTATGCCCGTTTTATGTTTTTTATGTTCTTGCTTCTTATGTCCAAGTGCAGAAGTTTCCCGACCTTTCTGATGAGGTTTCGGTTTCATTGAAGTTTCTGATGAGGTTTTGGTTTCTTTTTATGTTGCAGATGGCTCCATATAGGCCTGCTGTGCTTCCTGCTAAAATGGACATGAAGGGTAGAAGTGGGAAGTCGAGTTACAGCCTCAAAACATCCACAGAATTGCTTAAGGTACTGAATAGGATTTGGAGTCTTGAAGAACAACATGCATCGCATATATTACTTGTGAAAGCGCTGAAAAGGGAGCTCGATCACTCCAAAATGCGAATTAAAGAACTCCAGCAAGAGAAGAAGATGAACCGGCTAGAAATAAACGGACTGATGAATCGAGTTGCTGAGGATAGGCAAATCGAAGAGGCAGTGAAGGCGCTAAGAGATGAGCTGGAAGACGAGAGGAAATTGAGAAAGCATTCAGAGAATCTCCAGCGTAAGCTTGGTAGAGAGGTCTCGGAAGTGAAATCGTCTTTCTCTAGTGCTTTGAGAGAACTCGAAAGAGAAAGGAAGGCACGGGCTATGCTGGAAGACTTGTGTGATGAGTTTGCCAAGGAAGTGAAAGAGTACGAGAAAGAAGTCCGGGCCTTGAAGTGCAAACCTAGGAGGGATCAGAGACTCGGAGAGCACAGTGATAAGTTGATTCTTCATATTTCAGAAGCTTGGCTAGACGAGCGTATGCAGATGAAGGCTGTTCATGACAACTCTGATAAAAAAACGATTTCGGGCAGGTTAGGCTTTGAAATAGAAGAGTTCCTTAGAGCCAAGCAATCTGCAGGAAATTGCAGGCATTCTTTAGAGTCCTTTCATCTGGAAGAGGATGGAAGTGCTCCTAGAAACGAGAACGTTGAAGGAGAATCCTTCGATGGCACACTGCACAAGCAAGAAAATGGAAAGTGCACTTCAAGGATTCATCTCGAAGAGATAACAGAACCGAATCCCACGATCAAAAGGAGCCAGTCTCAAGAACTGCCAAAGGTCCCCGATTTATTTACTCACAAGATGCAATCTGAAGAAAAGACTCGGGAGGAGGTACCGAGCAAAGATCCAGTTGAAGTGAAAGATGCAAAGGATCTCGAGAACACAACGAGCATGCAAGTTCGATCCCAGAAAAGGAAGAGTAAACAGCTACACATCCGGGGCTCCTTGCTGAATAGTTTGATAAGAAACCAATTGTCCCGGGGAAGAAAGCAACACGAAGCTGAGGAAAAGCGTGCAGAACAACTCCCTTTTGATCCTTCAACATTCACAGGTCCAGAGAAAACAGGCCCAGAATCTGCAGTTCCACCTGAACCATCTGCAAAACTGCAACAAGGTGCCAAGGAAAACACCCTGAAGGCAAAGCTACTCGAAGCGAGGTTAGAGAGCCAGCAGCATCATCACTCCCGAGCTTCAGAAGGTTCGTGATAAGTTCGAAACTTCTCCAGGATAGATCAAGCTCTATCAAGAACCATCAAATTCTTGCCTAAATGGATGCTGTTGCGAATTTTAGTTAGTACATTGTACACTTGCCATAAATGGATGGTGAGGGTCTTTGTAGACCTGCAATCTTTCTGTAAATGGGTAGTGAGTTTGTTACTTGACATGATGTTCTCCATAGCAACCTAAACATTAGGTGATACAATGTTTGATATTTGGTGCAAAAGATTTTGACAGATTCAGAGCTGTTAGTTATTCGTCTTGGCAGCTGTCTCTCATTCGACACTGGAATCGTGTGGTTAACTAACGACGACAATTTGGTGTTTAGAATCATCGTCACGCCAGGTTGGTACGATGAAGAAGGAGGACACATTGTTTTACCTATTCAGCCTTTCAACTCGCGACGAAGATGGCTAAACCATAGAAAACAAAAAAGATAATCAAATTAGAAAAGACAGGAGTGGCGTCATTTGGTTTTGACCGTTTCGGCGGAGCAACCAAAGTCCCCAGCCTCTGGCATTGACCACTGGCGGCTCTTCCAACTCTCCAAGTCGTCGGTCGTCCTGAACGCGCGTTCCATTACATTTCTTCCTCGTGCTATTTTATTAACATTATTCTAAAATAGGGAAAAAATCAAATAGACACTGAACATTATTCAAAAAGTTATTATTATTATTATTATTATTATTATTTTTGAAAATAACAAGTGGTAATTTCATTAGAAATAATGTCAGGTGAGAATAGATCCCAATACATATAAGTAGGATGTTGAAAAGCAGTAGATGCTAAAGCATGTGATAAATAATTGTATGATCTAGGAATAAAATTAAATGAATAGAAATCAAACGAAGATGCAGCCCACGTGTTAGCAAGGGCGACAGGTTCATCGGCTGTCTCGAGCTCGTGGTCTTTAATTCCACCAGCTTGTATTTCTGAATTGTTAAATCATTAATGAAAAGTTATTTTGGTTTCAAAAAAAAAAAAATGAATAGAAATCAAACGAAGATGCAGCTGCTCTGCAGCTATCAATAGCATAGCCGATGTACGAATGAATTGTAAATGGCGGTGAAGTAAGATAAAGTTGTAGCAACAGACAATCCGTGTATATCTCTATAGACCGCTCGCCCCGATCTTTTAACCATCCTTGCATGCAAACACCGCGGCTATAAGTGGTGAAAAACAATCCAGGAGAGGTGTACTGAACGCTGCAACATACCCCCATTCATATTGAGAAGGACTGCTCCAGCCGTAGACTTGCCCGTCTCGTGGAGGAAACCGGCGTCGACGTGGCAGATCCTCGGCAGTGGCACGACGTCCGGAACAGCTGGTGCAGCCGGCTGTTCGTGAGGCAGTGGCGGTGTACCGGCAGCGGTAGGCTGCTCGGGTGGCGTTCGTGTGTTGGGAATCATTCGGGTTTGACGCCAAGCTTCCATGGTTGCGGTGGTTGCCGCAAGTAATCTCCTCGGTCGTGGAAGAAAAACGTCCCAAATCACTCCATTTCGTGCTCTCCAAATATGATATAAAATTGCTGCTGCATATATTATCCCATTAGAGTCTAGAACATTTAGTAGTTCACTAAACCAAATATGAAAAATATTTGTCAAAATATTGGGGATGGGAAGGTTGGATTGCTCCCAAATGGCTTTTCAAAATCACACAACACTAAAGCATGCATAGTGTCCTCTTGAGATATTCCACACATGGCACAATTTGGATCCAAATCAACTCTCTTTATAAGCAAATTTCTAATAGTGAGGGATATCACTAATAGCTCTCCAAAGAAATGCTTTCCATTTAACTTTTAAATGTTAAATGTTACAATTAGGCCTTAAACATATTGGTCCTATTTGGTAAAATATTAACCTATTAGCCAATTTTGATTATTTATTTGACCACTATTAATTATTTGACTTGTTAAAAAATCAACTCCAAAATGCTAAAAATTTAAAAAGTTGTTCAAAACAATTTTTTCAACTAGCTTTTTTAGAAAAGAAATTATACCAAACAACTAACAATTAATTTACCAAACACCTTCCTACAATCAGCTAATGTTATAAACTAGTTATGTAGTCTAATTAACCCAATCAGCTAACAGCCATTTATCAAACATGACCATTATTTTAGAGTATGGAGGTCAAAAAAATCGATTGCTGACCTATAATTACAGGTCACTAAGGTTCCGACGAACCTCCAACGAAATTTCGACCATATTTCGGCAAAAATATCAACGATTGTCGTTTGGTTACCTTCTCCAACGAAAAAGAAAGCAGATCAATTACCTTTTCCTTTACAGAAAAAGTGACTAGTTGGTCGACTTCTCTAGTTACTGTAAAAAACAATTAATTGGAAATTATTTATAAAACCAACAAATAATTATAACTCCACATTTTAGATAGGAAGTTCAATGCCTTGCTATTTTCTCAAATAATTAAATTTAGGACACTTAAAAAAAAAGAAAAATTTTTAGCTAGAAAAATAATTATTTTATAAATTATATGGACAATATTATAAAAGTTGAGTCATATTGTTACACAAGAATAATTTATAAGAAAAGTGTGTTTTAAAAAAAAATAAAAAAATAATGAAATAAGGAGTAATAATTTAAACTTTTTTTTGGAAACAATACTTTAAACTTTTGATTAGCATAAAGTAGGAACCTAATATCATGCTTATTTCCTAAAGGAAAGAGATGAGAGTTTGAGACCGGAATCCTATGTGTGTTGCGTTTCTCTATATATATCTGTTCGTCTTCTCCGATTGATTTAGCGGCAGCTCGGCGAAAGTTTAATTGCTATTTGTACTCGTTACTAGCAGTGAAACCTAAATTTTGGAGAGAGAATAGAGTATGAAGGATAGGAATTTGGACCTGTTTGACCCTAGAACGGCGGTTATGGACCCTGATTACTCTCCTACCACCGGCCGCCAGCCGGATTTCGCCTTCGCCTTCAACGATAGCAACTTCTCCGACCGCCTCCTGCGGATCGAGATTGTTGCCGACTCGTCCGACCAGCTTTCCGACTCCGAGGGCTGTCAGAGCCTCGCGGATTGGGCTCGCCACCGCAAGCGTCGGAAGGAGGATACCAAAAATGAAAACGGTTTGTCTCACATCGCTCAATTTCCCTTCGTATGTGCGAAATTTGTATGCAATCCTTTTTATTTTCGTGTGCGTGTAGTTTAGCATCTGAAAGAAAGGTGAGAAACAGACAATAGTGGTAGTCTGAATGGAGAAAGTCTTTAACTTCTCGCAAGCCTGGATATAACTTGGTTGTTTTTTGACACAAGTATACTAGAACTGGTTTTTTTAATCCGTAATAAGAATAAAGTCTCTAAGAGTTGTGTTTCTCTTTCAATCCTTTTCATTCTATTGTTCTTTTGAGTCCTTTTTAGTTACAATTGTTACATAGAATTTTGTTGGATATGTCAATCAAAGACTCTTTGTAAATAAATACTTAAATAGGATATGTCTTTACTGGTCTCCATGTCTCAAAGTTCAAATTTTGGTATATGTATGGTCTTCATGCTGATTCTTGCCCCTGGATTTCATATAGGGGTTTCTTAATTATGATCTGTTCTGTTACATAATACATTTATTGAATTTAGGATTCTTATGGATTTTGCATTTCTAGTTATATCTCATTGTGCTGTCAGCATTCATTTTCCATTCCCTGTTCCATTCGGTTTGTAAGTTGGGACTTTAGTTGCATTTTTAAAACTGACCACCACAGTCCTAATGCATTAGCTGCAAATGCTGTTCACACTGGTTAGACCTCTTCTCTTTCTTATGCCAGCATGGTTTTTATGATGATAACCAGACATGTGCCACTCGTTTGCAGCTTTGGATATCACCATATGCCCAGAGGAGCAGATTCTTACTTGTCACCAGATTGATCCTGATGATGTTGATACTGAAAATCAAGAAGAGTCGGTGGTTGCAATGATTGAAGAAGTACAATCGGGTATTTATAGATCTCTTTTGTGCTCTCTATTTCCTTGTTCCTATCTTAATTTATTGCAACTTAGAAAAGAGGTCATTAATGCAATTTGACAATCTTATACGTATTATTGTTATGAAATAGATTGAAATTTTTTTGCACGAGTTGAGAGGCTTTTGTGTAATTTCTACATTGATGCTTTGTTCTATGTGCTGGACCATATGAAACATTGATCAAATGAGATTAGCTGAATTGAAAATTTTTCATTGTTTAAATAGGAGATGAAGCTCCCAACAGTGAAGATTCAGATTGGAACATGGATTCAAGGGTTACAAAAGTCAAAACATTGCATATCAGCTCTCCTATTCTGGCAGCAAAAAGTCCATTCTTTTATAAGGTAATTATAAATATTTTGTCTAATATGTATATTGCTAGTCTACTCAAATGCCTATTAATAAAACAAATGAAAGAATACACATCACTGTATACGCATAGATTGCCTTACATTATAGAGTTAGTGCATAAGCTTCTGTCTCCTGTAACATGTGCAGCTTTTCTCAAATGGGATGAAGGAATCAGAGCAGAGACAAGTCACCCTTCAAATTCATGCTTCTGGTATTTTCTTTCATATCAACTTCTTACATGAAATTCTCACTGACTGATATGTTATTACCTTTGGGTAGTAGTGAGTTGCTGCATGGACAGACAGCCAAAGGATTTCTGCTCTTAACTTTTTGCTTTATCAATTTATCTTGATTTTTCCGCTCTTAATTTTTTATTCTATGGTACAGAGGAAGCTGCACTGATGGAGCTCCTGAATTTCATGTATAGCAATACACTAAATACAACTTCTGCACCTGCTTTGTTGGATATACTCATGGCTGCTGATAAATTTGAGGTTGCTTCTTGCATGAGGTATTGCAGCCGCCAACTACGTAATTTACCAATGACTCCAGAATCAGCATTGCTTTATCTAGAGCTTCCTTCTAGTGTTCTGATGGCTGAGGCTGTTCAGCCATTAACTGATGCAGCAAAACAATTTCTAGCAGCCCGCTATAAAGATGTCTCCAAGTAAGTCCTTGTCCATTTAGTCCTATTAAATACCTACCTTTTTCTTGTGTTTTTCTTAGTTACTCCGTATTAAGTAATTGTAATGCTTTTATCTTCATAATATTCTGTATTTGAACTTTTGCTGGGGTTTAATCATTCTATCCCAGGGGAGATATGCTCTTTATTGCTCTTATAGAATTTCTTCTGTCAAATTTCTATTGGATTCTATATTCACATTAAATATCTCCTGAAAGTTCCTGACAGTTATTATAATTATTAATTCCTCTTTGTGTGGAAACAGGTAAAGGGTTAGGGGTTGGGGTGAAGTTTTCTTGATTTCCTCGGTTTATGTAAAAGATTTAATATTGACTGTGAACTGTGAATCAAGTTTTTTGTTTGTCCTATTTCTGTTTGAGCATTTGGAAAATTATTATTATTACAGTAGTTAACGAGTTGATGCAACTTTTGCAGGTTTCAAGAGGAGGTAATGAACTTACCCTTGGCTGGAATTGAAGCAATTTTGTCCAGTGATGACCTCCAAGTGGCATCTGAGGATGCAGTATATGACTTGGTTTTGAAGTGGACAAGGAGTCATTACCCGAAGTTGGAGGATCGACATGAGATTCTTGGTTCCCGTCTCGGTCGCTATATACGCTTTCCTTATATGAGCTGCCGAAAGCTTCGCAAGATTCTAGTTTGTAATGATTTTGATCATGAGTTTGCATCCAAGCATGTACTTGATGCCCTATTTTTCAAGGCCGAGGCCCCTCATCGGCAGCGAACCCAAGCTGCAGAGGGATCTACTTCCGCAAGTCGTCGCTTTGTTGAGCGTGCTTACAAGTATCGACCTATCAAGGTAGTGGAGTTTGAGGTCCCTCGGCAACAGTGTATAGTCTACTTGGACCTAAAGCGTGAAGAGTGTGCTAATTTGTTCCCATCTGGCCGAGTATATTCTCAAGCATTTCACCTGGGAGGACAAGGTTTTTTCCTATCGGCACATTGTAACATGGATCAACAAAGCGCTTTCCACTGCTTTGGTCTATTTCTGGGGATGCAGGAAAAGGGTTCTGTGTCATTCGCTGTCGACTATGAGTTTGCAGCTAGATCAAAGCCAACAGAGGAGTATATCAGCAAATACAAGGGTAACTACACCTTTACTGGTGGAAAGGCGGTTGGCTATCGAAACTTGTTTGGTGTACAATGGACTTCTTTCATGGCAGATGACAGTCCTTACTTCATCAATGGCATACTCCATCTTAGGGCTGAGCTTACCATCAGGCACTAACTTCTTTCCACGATTTCCAACAAATTGTTATTTTCATTTTGGTTAGTTCCAGCCTTGTTTCCCCAGCTCAAAAGAAGTAAGGAAAAGCTAAGGGAAATTTAAGGTGATGGCAGTCTAACAGCTATAGTTTAGATCTTCAAAAAATGTGTATACATCCAAATGAATTGGAATGATGAAAATCAAGTTTGTGGAGGCTAAAATTTTGGTCAGCTCAGTCTGTTGGAACTCTTTCCACAAAAGTTGTGGTAAATAATGTTAATAAGTTGGGATTCTTTAGTTTTTGGTGTTTATTGTCTGGGAAGTATGTTCAATTTGGTCATATGGAAAATCTGTGTATCATCTTTATATTAACCAAAAGTAACGAAAAAAAATTGCAAAAATGTCCGCAATGTTGAAATCTTAGAATACATAAGTTAACAAATCGCAGGCCAACCACAAAAAATTGTTGTTGAAACCCACTGCTACATAAGTTTATGTTCAGATTTCCAATCAAAACTATCAGCAGGCACGAGAGATATGTATGGTTTCTCAATGACAACCATATTATCGTTTCCTTGGTCATGCTGCTCTTCCTGAATTTGCTTGGCTGAGGTCACCACGGAAAAAGGACAAGAGCTTAATTCAATTGATTTCAGAGTCGAAATTTCTGCAAAGCTACTTGGGATCTCTTTTAAATAATAACACTTGTAAAGCAATAGGTGTTCAAGTTTCGGGAAATGATCACTGCTAACTTCCCAATGCTCGAGATTAAGCACATCGAATTTCAAAAAAATTAACTGGCAAAATTTCTCCTCTTCTCTTAGTTCCCACTTTCCACCTTCACAAGCATAACCTCCAAACTTGAGCACCTCGAGCATTGGCAAAGTGCTAAGCAAATTTACTTCCTTCCACTGAAAGCACTTACAGAAAAATGACAACTTCTTAAGGGTTTTAAAGAAAGCAATTTGATTAATAATTGGATACTCAAACCCTTTATAATTGTCACAAAGTTTCAGGCTCTCAAGTTGTTGTAAATAGGCAAGGTTTCCAACGCAATCAATGCAATTGACAGTACTTTCTAGCCTTGTAGCAATGTGTACTTTCTTAAGGTATGTGTACTTTAGTTTTTCTTCCATTAGAACTCTGCTGGCTTACTACAATCAGGTTTCTATCCTTAAGTTCTTGAATCTGCCTTTGAGTCATGACTTCAAAGCTTTCATTCTCAAATGCCTTTACAAAACCTTTAGCAAACCATAACCTTGCAAGATCGTTGGCATATATTTCTTTATCTTCTGGAAAAACTCCCAAATATAAAAAGCAAACTTTCAGTTTGTGAGGCAAGTGATTGTAACTCAATGAGAGTATTCTTGAGCATGATTCTACAATAGTTGTTGCTGCTGATGAATTTAGAACTCTTGCAATAAATTTCCACTCGTCTATTGTGTTGAGTTTGGAAAATAGTCCTGCAGCCACTACAATTGCTAGAGGCAATCCCCTACACTTTTCAACGATTGGTCTTCCTATCATCTCAAATTCATGACCCTGAGATATGCCTCTCAAGAATACATTTTCTGTTTGTGTTTTACGGCCTAAATATGGCGCTGGTAAGTGCATGTATACAAATATTTTGAAGTAGAATGTCCGAAAGAAATGGTCACGGGATGAACCACAATTCTTGTACCATTCAAATTTATTTGGTTTTATTGATTCCGTCACATAGGATTGTGGTCCGCGGCTATTGGGTAAAAAGAATATTTTGAAGTTGAAGATGAAATTAATTAAAATTCAATTTTAGTGACTGAAATACTGAATGGAACAGGAGGGTAGGGTAAAGAATCTATTTTTAAAGGCTTTACTTTAAACAAAGAAGTGATTCCTTATCCTTGTTGAGAAAGGAAATAGGGCAGAATCAAAACCCAAACCGCCCGTAATTACGATTCCTTATCCTTATTGAGAAAGGAAAAAGGGCAGAATAAAAATCCAACCCGCCCGTAATTTATCAAAATCGAAACTTGCTGATTTCTGGGAATTGGAATTGGGTGTTGCTTGCGTCGAGTGTTATCATGCCGAAGAACAAGGGAAAGGGAGGCAAGAACAGAAAGAGAGGGAAGAACGAGGCTGACGACGAGAAGAGAGAGCTTGTTTTCAAGGAGGACGGGCAGGAATACGCTCAGGTCCTCCGTATGCTCGGAAATGGCCGCTGTGAGGCCATGTGCATCGACGGCACCAAGCGCCTCTGTCACATCCGTGGCAAGATGCACAAGAAGGTTTGGATCGCCGCCGGCGACATCATCCTCGTCGGCCTCCGTGATTATCAGGCAACATCCTTCATCTTTTCTTCCTTATTTTTTTAAATTAAATTTTGTCAAAGGAAGAATTTCCCCCAAAAAATGATTTTTTTTTTTCCCCCTTTGTTGCTTATTATACTTTTTTTTTTTTTTTTTTTTGTGTGTATATTTTTTCTCTTTTTATTGAAAGATTTGATCTTTTAAGCCTTGCATCTCTGAAATTTAGCATTATTGTTCAAGGCTATCATAACCTAGAATTCCATGAATGCTTTCATCCTGTCTTATATAATAAGTTAGTTAGCAGTTTTTATGTTGCTGTTTCTCTTTTTAACTTTGGTTGTCTGATGACATGATTTTTAACATTGGTTGTCTGATGACAGGATGATAAGGCTGATGTTATTCTGAAGTACATGCCAGATGAGGCGAGGTTGTTGAAGGCATATGGAGAGTTGCCTGAGAACACGAGGCTCAACGAGGGCATTGCTGGTGGATTGGATGAAGAAGATGAGGGTGCAGCTGATGATTATCTGGAGTTTGAGGATGAGGACATTGATAAGATATAGGAAGTTGAAACCCCTGAGTTATATATCTCTGTGGAGTTTCATGTCACTTTAAGTAGAGAGGGGAGAACTTATTTGTAACGTTTTAAGTGATACAATGAAGCCTTGTGCATTGGGTTTCATGTATGAAGTTTTGTGCTTTTGATCAAATGGATGGAATAATATTAACTCTTTTTAAGTTATATCTGTGTGGTTGATTTGGTAAAGTCTGTGTTTTTCTTTTGTCTTTTGAGAAGATTGTGGACTGGTATGAATGTATGCTTTTCTGCAATCTTCAACTTGATTTGGTTATCTATTTGAAGTTCAGAACAGGGAATGGATTCACAGATTGGCTTTAGCTGTGTTTAATGAATTCAGACATATGAGATTTTGGTGTTCTGTAGTCCCTGTGATTTAGATAAGGTATTTGTAATCTTGTGTTTTGTTGAGTGAAAACATGAAACTGAACAAAACAAGGATTTACATGCTTTTTAGTCATCCAAAACTACATAGTACAGACAATGCAGTATTTACAGAAAGATTCTTAAACACAGATCAAGTTGAATACAGAATCTCATTGCAAGAAAAACCTTAAACAAAACACAAGTACTCCTACATAGGAAGCCTTCAATTGTTATTAGAGATTTTGCCTCTAATAATACTATACGCGATGAAAATGTAGCACGGATCAATATGAAATGATGTTGGGGTTCACCTTTGCATCTACTCAAATCCTCCCGAGATCTTCTTCTTCAACACTTCAATGTCTTCTGCCAGTTCTTTCCTGCGTGACTGCAAATACAAAAAGGAAATTCACATCTAGCTAGGTAAAAGCAACATGATTGGGTACTCTGATCAGTATTTCATGACAAAATTAAATGGTGACAATCCCGAGTCATACCTTGAAGAGAAGGTAACGATAGACAAACCATCCAGTATATCCGAGCCCCACCAGCTCCATGATTTTGGGAAGCTAGAGAAGAAAAGTATAGCATTTTAGAATAGATTGAACAATGACCAAAAAATGGAATCTATAGAAAATAATTGCATCCTATTCATGTCTGCAGAAAAAAAAAAAAGTGGAGATGCAGAAAGGACTGCAAACCAAATGCAAAGAGCTTAGCAACCTACCAGAGGAACTGAGTTGATGGCACCCACAAGTGTTGAAGCGAGCCAAACTGCAACGATTGCCCCACCTCCATAAAGAAGTACGGTAGACTTGTTTTCAAGGGCATCCCACTAAAAGTATGAGCAGAAAGAAGAAAATGAGTTGGGTGTAAAAAAAACTAATACCAATGGAGTAACACTGTAACAGCATATCAAGAAAATGCTCAAAGTTCAGAATGAAGACGAAATCTTGCAGAAAACAAAATGTAGTGGAGAAGGCAGAAATTCAATTTGGCTACGCATAACCCACCATACCTTTTCTTTTAGATCAGTAAACAACTCATTAGCATCAAGAGATGTATCCTCAGATGAAGATGCTTTGACCTGCAGAAGAGAAGACCTCTTGGGTTCTGTTTAAGACAATTAGCGTAAACATAAGCCGATAAACTAATGTAAAGAAAAACAGAAGTTCTGGCAGTGATAGTTCAGAAAGTGAGCAAAAGCTTTCCTGCCCACAGGTAAATCTCACTATTAGAGGAACCAGAGCAATGCTGTGGCCATCAACATGATCTCTAAGTGTTTATCAGGAATATAAGATAGTTTGCAAAAGGGAATTACATGATCAGGTAGTTTCACCTCCAAATATACTCAAATTGGCCATTCATCATACAAATTATACTAATCAAATTACCAGACTGCATCCATACAATTCAATATGATCAGGGAAGTAGGGAACCCCCTACTGTAAGTTCAGAAAGAAAACCAAGGGCTTATTGAAAAGATTCCAACTTTATGAACGAATATGTTAACTGGAGCATCATTCAAGCTGTAAAGATTCCACCTTTAAAGTAAAATTCTAGAAAATGGCATTTCAAATTAATTAAGGGCTATAAAACAGAAGCCCCTCTTTACCTCTTACCCCCTTCACCTCCAAACTTCCAAGGAACAAATTGCTAAAAAGAAAGAGTGGGTAAAAGAGAATACCCTTTAGTTTGAGGGGGGCAGAGAAAGCAGGAACGGAAACTCTGGGTAGCGGTGGGTACGGCAACGCACAGCTGCGGTTGGGGGTGGAGTAGACGGCGAATCTTGGGCTGAAGACGGCTGTCGCCGCCATGGAAGTGGAAGCTGCGCTTGCCATCATCAGGCCACTACTGTTCTCTTTGGGTGTGGCTGTTGGTATAGCCTATTAGCCAAAAAGAGCCGAGCCTCTTTGTGAATTTACAAAAAAAAGATATTAGATTAAAATGGATCAAACAAAAGTCTTTTGCTCTATCCACAATGTTTTTCTTTCTACAGGACAACATAAGTTGATATTTGTGTGTATGTGAAACGTGGAGGCTTTCCTCCACCTGATTGGTCCATTCCCTATCTTCGAAATCCATGCTGCCTTTATTATGGATTTTATTAAATGAAAAAAAAAACCCCAAAAAAAAATCAAATTTTACAAAAATAACTAAATATATTTTGGACCTGAACATTAGTGTTTCATGAGTAACCATCATTGAGTTAAATTATCTGTCTGTGTTCATAAAATTACGGTTAATCTGAATCAAAAACATATATGTCAACACAACATTCTGGTAAATTGTACTATACGATACGATGTTTTCCTCGATCAAGAGTTTGATCGATCAATTGTTGTCAAACAAAGATTGTTTTTAGCTAGATAGTTAGCCTATAGGATTGATATCACAGAAGTTGTGGAGTGGAAATGGAGGATCAAAATAAGAGCCACTGAAAATGGCCTGTACAGTGACTTTGTTTGCTGCATCTGTAAGATGAAATCCATCCCAGCTCACATAGTTGTATGGATCCTCACAAGCTTCTGCGGTGACTGTCTGTCCGTTCAGAACATTCGTGTCTCCACAGAACAATTCCTTCTTGAAGTTATAGTCCCCTCCTCCATACCCACAGCACACTTTTGTCCCATACTTCAATCCTGCAGACAATATATAGTTAGCATTAATTAAGGTAAGTATTACAGTTTTAATTTGTGGTCTTAATTAGTATGTATATAAATACCATGGGATGTGGGGTGCTGGAAGAGCTCCAAGATGATACTATGAGTGTCCACATAAACCACATTTGCATCCTTAATATCTTGTCTTGTCTGTCTCAGTGCATCTTTAAGGATGTTGTTGTAGTCCGCTACTGCATTGTTGTACGATTTCAGGCACCCGAACTGGTCTAAATCAGAAGTGTTGTGAGAAAGTTTGGCCAGAAATGATGGATAGCAGCCGATTGGTGCAAGATTCAGAATGAAAAATGTTCGGCCACCCAACAAGTAAATATCCTGATTGATGACAGACATTCAAGAATCAAGATTCAAGAATCACATTAATTTAATTAATTACTCCGTAATTAATTGCATATATATATATATAGTACTAAGTTGCTACCTTGATGGTTTTAGTGATCTGAGCGACCACTTCGGGTAAGGACTGGTTGACTCCACTTATACCCAGTGATGCCAAGTCGAAAATGAAGTCATTTTGGCCAATGTAGAATGTGTACAGTGCTTTTCCAAATATGTTTTTGGGAGGAAGTTTTGTATTTCCTGACACACATATAATATTCTGAATTGGTTTATATATCTCAATCTGCGGGGAAAATTAATTTGTTCGGAATTAACTAGGAATATAATGAGGGAGTTATTGTACCATGGTTGTAGGAATGATGTTGTTCTTGTTCTTGTTCTTGTTCATCAACCATAACCTTAAACTGCTTGAATTGGTTGAACTGAATTGCCAGGGAGAAAGGGCTGATACCAGTATCAATCAGGGAACCATGCGGCCGCCTAACAGTGGAAGCCATTGATGCAAAGTTGGCGCCATTTCTGTAATCTGATCCTATTGACTTCAAGTATGGACTCAGGAATGCCAATCCTAAACCTTGTGCTTCTCGACAAACCAACCAACTTATTAACGTTAATGGAAGTTGACACAACAAAATATATATGTAAGTTATTAGTGAAAGTAATTATTACCAAGAAAATCAACGATGACTCTGCCGTCGGTGTACCGTCCCACCGGTTTCTTGAAGTAAGTCATGCCGTGGGGAGGACGCTGAGCCGGAAAAGCTGCCCAGAAACCTCCGGTGTCGGTGTTGGAATCGCCGAAGTTAAAGATGGCCGGAAAAGAACAATTGGTTTCATATCCGGCCACTGCCGTTGCCGTCAAAACTGCCAAAAACACACAGAATTCCCACGCATTACCCATCGCCTCTTTCATCTGTATCTGTACGTGGCGTTAGCTCAGCTTGATCAATTCGTATAATGCTTTTATATATATATATATATATATATATATATATATATATATATATATATATATATATATATATAGCTCAGAATTTTTAGAGTGTTATAGCTAATTAAGGTTCATGCTCCACCCACCCATTTTATGTAACATGTTGTTAGATTATGAGTAAGGTAAGGTTAACCAAATAAACTCAATATAGTAATTAATTCAAACTATAATTAAGAACTTTATTACTCAAAATCTCCAATGTAACAGATTCATGCTTTCCAATTTTCCATAACTAATAACTAAGAGAGAAAATTAAGCTAATAATTAAGGCTAGCCTATAGGATGGATATGACAGAAGTGGTGGAGTGGAAATGGAGGATCAAAATAAGAGCCATTAAAAATAGCTTTTGCAGTGAGTTTATTTGCAGCGTCTGTGGCGTGTATTCCATCCCAGCTCACGTAGTTGTATGGATCCTCACAAGCTCCCGCGCTCACGGTCTGCCCGTTCACAACTTTCGTGTTTCCACAGAACACTTCCTTGTTGAAGTTATAGTCCCCTCCTCCATACCCGCAGCACGCTTTTGTTCCATACTTCAATCCTGCACACAAACAACATCATTAAAACATACATAGTATTATATGTTAAAGCTGTCTTGTGGTCTTAATTAGTATACCGTGGGATGTGGGGTGCTGGAAGAGCTCCAGGAGGATACTATGAGTGTCCACATAAACCACATTTGCATCCTTAAGATCTTGTCTTGTCTGTCTTAGTGCATCTTTTAGCATGTTGTTGTAGTCCACCACTGCATTGTTGTACGATTTCATGCACCCAAACTGGTCTATATCAGAATTATTGTGAGGAAGTTCAACCAGAAATGCTGGATAGCAGCCAATTGGTGCTAGGTTCAGAATGAAAAATGTTCGGCCCCCCAACGTGTAAATATCCTGATAATGACAGACAGTTAAGATTCAAGAATTACATTAATTGCATGCATAGTACTATGTTAGTTAGGTTGTGTTTACCTTGATGGTGCTCGCGATCTGACCAACCACTTCAGGTAAGAATTGCTTGACTCCATTTATGCCCAGTGATGCCAAATTGCCAGTGAAGTCATTTTGGCCAATGTAGAATGTGTACAGTGCTTTTCCAAATATGTTTTTAGGTGGTAATTTTGTATTCCCTGAAATAATATAACATAATATTCTGAGTTGGCTTAATTAGCTCAATCAGGGAAAATTTAATTTGTTCGGAATTAACTAGGAATCAGGGAGCTGAGTACGTTATTGTACCATGGTTGTAGGAATGATGTTGTTCTTGTTCTTGTTCATCAACCATAACCTTAAACTGCTTGAATTGGTTGAACTGAATTGCCAGGGAGAAAGGGCTGACACCAGTATCAAACAGGGAACTATGCGGCAACCTAACAGTGGAAGCCAATGTTGCAAAGTTGACACCATTTCTGTAATCTGATCCTATTGACTTCAAGTATGGACTCAGGAATGCCAATCCTAAACCTTGTGCTGTGCACATACATCAAACTTCCACTAATTTAATCAACCAACCAACTTATTAACGTTAATGTTAAAACATTATATGATTTTTTTCCTCTTTTATACTTTAATATGTCAAAGACAATGTACAAGAATTGGGACCAGAAGGCATCAATAATTAACATATATATGCATGCATTGTCATATTCTAGCTGGAAGTGGACCAACACATACATCTTTTTTTTTTTGCACTGTCTGTTTGTTTGTTTGTTTGCTCTTTTTTTGTTCTTTTAGGAGTTCTTGAAATGTGAATCACTGAGAAAGTCTGAAACCGCTGCCCAGACAGATAATTATACACGACAAATATATATATGTAAGTTAGTGAAAGTAATTACCAAGAAAATCAACGATGACTCTGCCGTCGGTGGCCCGTCCGACCGGTTTCTTGAAGAAGGTCATGCCGTGCGGAGGGCGCTGAGCCGGAAAAGCTGCCCAGAAACCTCCGGTGTCGGTGTTGGAATCGCCGAAGTTAAAGATGGCCGGAAAAGAACAGTTGGCTACACATCCAGCAGGCACCGCCGTTGCCGTCAAAACTGCCAAAAACACACACATATACAACCCCCACACCTTGTTACTCATCGCCTCTTTCATGTCTGTGTGTACAGTATCTATCGGTAGTGTATTTACCTCAGCTCGATCGATCAAGAAATTAAATATAGACTCCAGATAGTATAGTATGTACGTACTTATATATATATAGCTGAGAATTTTTACTGTGTCATATCAATTATATTGCCATGTCCTCTAGTAGTGTCCACACGTACCACTACTTTATTGCAATATAATAGTCCACACATCACACCCAAGAAGAAAAATTATGTATAAAATTGAAACAATAATCTTATAGTACAAAAATCATGTTTCAACTGCTACTCGATCAAAACTACTCTTTTAGTGGAAATAATTTTTATTTTTATTTACATAAAGGATGGATGAATATTCTTTATCCATATAAATACAGTACTACAAGAGTGTGTGTGTATATATATATATATAAGAGCCAGTATTTTGTTTTCAGAGCAGCTAGCCTATAGGATGGATATGACAGAAGTTGTGAAGTGAAAATGGAGGATCAAAATAAGAGCCACTGAAAATGGCTTGTGCAACCAGTTTGTTTGCTGCGTCTGTGGTGTGTAATCCATCCCATATCACGTAGTTGTATGGATCCTTACAAGCTTCTGCACTCACTATTGCTCCATCCACAACTTTTGCGAGTCCACATAACCATTTCTTGGTAAAATTATAGTCTCCTCCTCCATACCCGCAGCACGCTTTTGTTCCATACTTCAATCCTGTACGTACACAAACAACAACATTAAAGCATACAATTATATATAGTATTATTAAGGTAGTAGTCTTGTGGTCTTAAATTAGTATGTATACCGTGGGATGTTGGGTGCTGGAAGAGGTCCAGGAGGATACTATGAGTGTCCACATAAACCACATTTGCATCCTTAAGATTCTGTCTCGTCTGTCTCACCGTATCTTTCAACATGGTGTTGTAGTCCACCACTGCATTATTGTAGGATATTAGGCACCCGAACTGGTCTATATCGGAAGCTTTGTGAGGAAGTTGGACCAGAAAGATTGGATAGCATCCAATCGGTGCAAGATTCAGAATGAAAAATGTTCTGCCCCCCTGTGCGTAAATATCCTGATACATATATACATAATACATGATATGATGGCAGTCAAGAAAGAAATCACATTGATTTGCATAGTACTATGTTGTTGGAATGAAAACATAAGCTAGCTTTACTTTGATGGTTTTAGCGATCTGAGCGACCACTTCAGGGAAGAACTGCTTGACTCCACTTATACCCAGTGATGTCAAGTTGGCAGTGAAGTCATTTTGGCCAATGTAGAGTGTATAAAGTGCTTTTCCAAATATGTTTTTGGGTGGCAGTACTTCTGTATTATTCCCTGATAGATAGAAACACAATCTGAGGTACAGTCTGTCTGTCTATGTGAATCAGGAAAATTAAAAATTGTTCGGAATTAGCTAGGGACCGGAGTTATTATTGTACCATCGTCGTAGGAATCATGTTCATCAACCATAACCTTAAACTGCTTGAATTGGTCGAACTGAATTGCCAGGGAAAAAGGGCTGATCCTGGAATCAAACGGGGAACTATGCGGCAGCCGAACAGTGGCTTCCGCTGATGCAAAGTTGGCGCCATGTCTGTAATCTGATCCAATTGACTTCAAGTATGGGCTCAAGAATGGCAATCCTAAACCTTGTGCTGCATATATGCACCTCAAACTATATCAACAACAGATTTGTATAGTAGTAAACCTATGCATATTTAATTTAGTGAAAGTAATTACCGAGAAAATCGACAATGACTCTGCCGTCGGTTGTCCGTCCGGCTGGTTTCTCGAAGTAGGTCATGCCATAGGGAGGCCACAGAGCTGGGAAAGCTGCGTAGAAACCTCCGGTGTCGGTGTTGGAATCGCCGAAGTTAAAGATGGCCGGAAAACAACACGTGGCTTCACATCCAGGCACCACTACTGTCGCCGTCAATAATATTGCCAAAAACACACACAATCCCCACGCATTTCTCGTCACCGCTTTCATGTCTGTATCCGTATAGGGAGAGATTTAGACAGAAATAACAATGAAAAATGATTATTATTACTATTCCTATGATCATATCATACATCTGTAATACATAATTGGGAGTAATATATAGTGTTGATATCATAAATGTAATTATAATATTTCCATAATTCACGTAACACTCGTTAAGCTATCAATCCAATGTGACTTCCTCTATTCTTTGTATTCAAATATTCCTTACAATAATATCAACCATTAGATCAGACCATCCACTAGTCATTTTAATTTAGAATTATAGCCAATATTATCATCCATCCGGCCATTAGTTTCTATATTACCATGTCCTCTAGTTCACACTTCTAGTTTGCATCTATATTGTGTCTGTTGGATTGTAGTATCTTTTTATCAGGTGACGCAGAAATTCAAACGCATGCCGCATGACCTTTTGTATGAGGTTGGTTCTGATATCAGTTTAAGATTTCTGGCATTCTTTTAGCTAAAAATGAAATGGGTCAATGCAAGCAAATCATTTTGTAGGAGGAAAAAAAAGATTATTAAAATGACCAAAAAGACTTGAGAAATTATGGTATGTCTTTTTCCATTAATCAATCAACAATCCAACAAGAAATGGAAGAACTAACTGTTTTGTTTTGAGCTAGCTAGCCTATAGGATGGATATGACAGAAGTGGTGAAGTGAAAATGGAGGATCAAAATAAGAGCCATTGAAAATGGCCTGTGCAGTGAGTTTGTTTGCAGCGTCTGTGGCGTGTATTCCATCCCAGCTCACGTAGTTGTATGGATCCTCACAAGCTCCCGCGCTCACTGTCTGCCCGTTCACAACTTTCGTGTGTCCACAGAACACTTCCTTGTTGAAGTTATAGTCCCCTCCTCCATACCCGCAGCACGCTTTTGTTCCATACTTCAATCCTGCACACAAACAACATCATTAAAACCTACATAGTATTATATATTAAAGCTGTCTTGCATGTGGTCTTAATTAGTATGTATACCGTGGGATGTGGGGTGCTGGAAGAGATCCAGGAGGATACTATGAGTGTCCACATATACCACATTTGCATCCTTAAGATTTTTCCTCGTCTGTCTCAGTGCATCTTTCAACATGTTGTTATAGTCCACCACTGCATTATTGTAGGATTTCAGGCAGCCGAACTGGTCTACATCAGATGCGTTGTGAGGAAGCTTCACCAGAAACGCTGGATAGCATCCAACCGGGGCAAGATTCAGGATGAAAAATGTTCTGCCCCCCAATGCGTAAATATCCTGATAGATCAGATAATGGCAATCAAGAATATAAAATAGAATGAAGTTTTGCATCAGACTATATATATATGTTGGTTGTGTTGTTTTTACCTTGATGGTTTTAGCGATCCAAGCAACCACTTGGGGTAAGAACTGCATGACTCCACTTATTCCCAGTGATGTCAAGTTGAGAGTGAAGTCATTTTGGCCAATGTAGAATGTATACAGTGCTTTTCCAAATATGTTTTTGGGTGGCAGTTTTGTATTCCCTGCAGGCACACAAACATAATCTGCGTTAGTAGTTATGTCAATCAGGAAAACATTGTTCGGAATTAACTAGGAAGCATGCAGGGAGTACGTTATTGTACTGTACCATCGTCGTAGGAATGATGTTGTTCTTCTTGTTCATCAACCATAACCTTAAATTGCTTGTATTGGTTGAACTGAATTGCCAGGGAAAAAGGGCTGACCCCGCTATCAAACAGGGAACTATGCGGCAGCATGACAGTGGAAGACACTGTTGCAAAGTTGGCGCCATGTCTGAAATCTGATCCAATTGACTTCAAGTATGGACTCAAGAATGCCAATCCTAAACCTTGTGCTGCAAGCGCATCAATTCAGCAACAAATTCAATTCCGACAAAACATAATCCAGCCCGCACCTATCAGTTAATTTTGCCTTGTTTAATCACTATTAGCTGTTTGACTTTGTTAAACTAACAATCAATATGAGTGTTTTATTAATTAGCTTTTTGTAACAGCTTATTAATCCAAAACACTAAAATTCAAAAAGTTGTTCAAAGTAATTTTTTCGATTAGCTTTTTGGGAAAAAGTCATTTTGTATGTAATCTCCTGTCAAGCTAACAGCTAATTTACATCTTTATGCAATCAACTAATGTTATCTAGTCAAACACAGTAACTTAATTAGCTAACAGCTATTTACCAAACACCCTCATTATATACATATAACAAAATATGATTCATTGATGTATAGATAAAGTTAGATCAGAGGATGTAGTTACCAAGAAAATCAACAATGACTCTGCCGTCGGTTGCCCGTCCGACCGGTTTCTTGAAGTAGGTCATGCCATAGGGAGGCACCAGAGACGGGAAAGCCGCGAAGAAACCTCCGGTGTCGGTGTTGGAATCGCCGAAATTAAAGATGGCTGGAAAAGAACACGTGGCTTTACATCCAGGAACGACCACCATTGCCGTCAGAACTACTGCCAAAAAAACATGGAATACCCACGTAGTATTACTCATCGCCTCTGTCATGTCTGTGGCTGAATCTGTAATGTCAACTCAGCTGGATCAAGTCATCAAGATAGATGCAGAATGCAGTTTACTGTACAGTTTGTATACTTGAATACAACTAAGACTTTTCACAAGAAGCAAAAGTATCTTACGAAGAATCTTTTGGGAAAAGCGGATTGATGGCTTTTTTCTCCCTCTGATGAAGGGTTTCTCCTCCTTGTCCCGGCCTGGTGACGAGTTTTCTGCTAACTTTCCTTGGGCTGATTATTAGTTTCTCCATCGCTTTAATGGCGAGGTTTTATGTTGTTCTTAACTCTTCTACCTACCTTGTGTACCCTGCTTCCTATGCATTTATGGCGAGTGTTAATGGCATCCTTTACACCAACCAACCAACCTGTGAGCTGTTTCAAGATTCTCATATTACCTCCCATCACCCCACACAGAACACCCACATTACCATCACAGATTACGACCTATCTGGAAACCTCGTACTTCTCTTGGATTGCAACTACTACCTTAACCACCCCCAGATCGTGATGGCTTCATCCTGCAGCAATGATACAGTGCACATGGAGATGGAATATGCAGCTTTTTCTCTGGGAGACAATG